TGGTCGATTGTTCCTCTTGGAATAGGCTAGGTAGTTTTTCATTTCTATCACTTGTTTTTATGCTCAATTAGCTATTCCATCATCAATTTCATTAATTTCAACATCAAAACCATTTCTCCCAAGTCACATGTCCAAGAACCCTAACCCTAATTCATTCAATTAATTCAATGAAACTTGAATTAATTGTGCAAATCCAATAATTCATATCAAACAACAAGTTCTTATGATGTAGGTGAGACTAAATTACCTTAAATGCTCAAAATTAATCCTTTTTAGGTCAAATTTTTTCTTCCCCCTTTATGTTCCTCAAAATTTCGACCATTTGCTTAATTTTTCCTCCTTGTCGTTTTTGATTTTTCAACTATAATTCTAGGCTTAATGGAGTGTTTTAAGGATATTTTTAGTGTTTAGGTTGAATTATCTTGTAATTTCTTTGGAAAACTTGGCAAGAGTTTGGCCTAATTTTTTTTTATTTTTCCACCATTTTTCTTCCTCCTTCCAAGCCAAATTTATAGGTAAGATTGGGTGGACTTTTCTTTGTTTTGACTTGATCTTGGCCCTTCACTTGGTTTAATCTCCACCTTCCATCTTTCTTTTAATTCTAACCCTTCATCACTTTAATTCTAGCCTTCCATTTGTTTAATTAATTATTAGCTCATTTAATATGAAGGGTGAGGTGCCAGGTTAATGTGGAAAAATCTTGGCAAAAATATTTATTTTAGTCCCTTGATTTATCACACCATTTAATTTTTATTCCTACCTTTTAGTCCCTCAAATTTTCAATTGACTACTTTTGGTCTTTCTCTAAAACTTTTCCAAAATCCTTGTGCACCCTAAAACTTATTTTCAAATTTATTTGAGGGCCAAGACTTTTAATTCTATGTAATTAGGTCTCTATGCACATAATTAATTTCACACACTTTAGAAAAATAATTTCTTTTCACAATAAATTCATACACTTTCTATTGTAATTTATTCATCAATCAACTAATTTTTATGCACTTATTTAGCACTCAAAATAATTATTTTGTATAAAAGTGTACTATTTACCCATAAAAAAGTTAATAAAACATTCACTAAGCATAGAAAAATTTAATTTAAGTGCACTGAATATTCTAGTACCCTTTTAGCAATTTTTCTATGCACACAAGATAATTTTCATACACGTTTAAGATATATTATTTCATTTATTTATAGGTTCGGAGTATTACAAGGGCAAACAGATTCTTTCATCAATTTCTACACTAATTACAAGGCAACCGTTAACAAAACAGTTTCAAAGGCAAAGAAGTTCAAGTTGAACCATGAAAGGTCCTTAACCACATAGGAATGTTTTGAACTATTCCATTCAATGACTCTTTTGGCCCATCAACACATTTAGACAACTTTTTAATATGATTTATTTTTGAATATTATGATTATAGACCATGACATATCGATTTTGTGATAAACAATATATAGTGGGTCGTGTTGCATTTTTTTTTACTAGCATTTTCAATATTTTAGTTTTTTTTGTTGGATTTATATGGATTTTTATCTTTAAAAAAGTTGAAATATTGCATTTGATGCTATTGTTTGTTCTTTTTAAGAGAAACCATTGTGTTTTGTTGTATTTATACGTGCCTCAAGGCGAGTTGTGTTCATCATAGAAAGAGGACTTTGGTTGTTTTTCGAGTCTTAGTCACCTTATGTTGGGGTTATGTTGTTTTTGCAAGTTAAAGATTCTTAGCCTATTGAATAATGTCATGTTTGACCTGTTTGATTCTCAACCTATTCACTCACTATGAGTAAAAGACAATGTGTGAATTTTTTAGATGCCATCAGTATCCATTTCTTAACTTCCTTTTTTTATGCAAATCAATTTGTTCATCCATTATATGCTATGAGAATTTAGTTCACAACATGAAATTACTAACATAAGTAAGCAAGTCTTGTAAAGAAACATTAAAGTGAAAATATATATTTGTCTTGCTATTATTCACGCCTATCTTCATTTTTTTTTCTTAGTAAGTTTTTCGAACATTAAGCTCAATGCAATTGTTTTTTAACCTCTCTACCATTAATATTACAAGGTAGAATTTCTAACTCAATTGATCTGGCTGAATAATTAGAGAAATAGAATGAATCTAGATCATTAAACTACTCACATTTTTGTACTTCTTCTATCTTCTTTTGACATTTTCAAGACAAAGAAGAAGATTGAATCCATATTGTTACTTTATCTCTCGTCTATGGTACCCCCACCATGATACCACTTTGCAATAGCATAATTTAATACATTACATAAAATATCGTATAAATTAAATTGGTAGTACTAACATGCCATTTAGATCATATGAAGGTAAAAAATATCCCAATAACACAAATTTTATCAATGTTTCAAAAAAAAAAAAAATACCACTTGGTAATAGTTTTGACTTTCCCTACCAACTCTTTCATGTCAATCCTCAATCTTTGTATTTGAATTTTCGTTTCAATAATTTCAAATCTTATGTTATCGAGTTTCTCAATCAACTTATTTTTTGTTTGTTTTCTCTTATTTACTTCAATTCCTATCAAACTTGAATTTTTTTTCTTTTAAGTATCTCAACTAACTCCATTCTTTCTTTCAAATCTTCAATCTCAATTACAACTAACTTTTTAGCTTCACACACGTTGCGGTCTTCTTCAATCCACTTCAAAAATCCATAGTTATCAACTTGAAATTTACAATATTTTATTGAAATAAAATTTCAAATATGTGGTATGCATCTTTGTAACAAGGAAGAAATTTCAGTAACTAATAACAATACCTTCTAATATGGATAGTAAAAGAACTTCTTCTCCGGGTTCGTTTCGGTTCATGAAATATATAGGCTAGTTTCCATCTTGTGTTTGCATAAAGGCATTTTAAAAGTTAGAGAGCATGTTTTTGAAACTTCATCCATGCTGAAACTACTACCTATATATGTCATATGAAAAAATTAAGTGGAAGTTATGCACTTGTACGTGTGGGTTTTGGTTTTGGAATTTTGTGATAAGAAATGAAATGGTTAGGCGGAGAGGAATGTGTACTTGGTTTGTCCGGACAAAGAAGATGAGGGAGTTACATGTTCAATGGAGAACTCGTGAATTCATAATGCCTTTTTTAGGTTTATAGGTTCGGATAAAGATAGTAATTGGTTTGGGGTGTTTAAGTTGGTCGGGGTTCGTGACAACAAAGGGAGGTGTTAAAGATTCATGGTGGGAAAGAGAGAGGCATTTGTTCGTTGGGTAGAGAAGAGAGAACATTAGAGATTTTTTTATTTGATTTGGGTTTGTATTTTGGGGAATTTTTGTTTATGAAATCGGAGGGAGGTGTTGACGATTAGTAGGTGACATGTCATTCTAATAGCTTGAATTTTAATTTTTTGCCATGTGTAATTCTATGTGGACTGTAATCCACGATGTCATTCTACATGTCTTGCCACATTAGATGAACTTGAAATTTTGAACGAAAAAAATCCTCTCGTTCTAATATGGTTATCAAAAGTTTAGTTCATATATTTTTCATTTATTCTTTAAAAAAACATGAAAAAATAATTAAAATGTGTTAAGTTTGTGATTTTATGATATAATAAGCCAAAAATCTAATTTATGCGCAACAAAAAATCTAAATATGAATTTAAGTTCTATGTTAGTGTGTGTGTGTGTGTATATATATATGGAGAGAGAGAGAGAGAGTAATTCAACAAAACACAAAAGATAATAATGAATTAAAAAAGATTGGATATAAATTCTCAAACAAAAAAAATTGTATTAAATTGAGTATTAAAAAAATCATAAGAATATATAGCTCTAATTCAACAAAACACAAAATATAATAATAGATTAAAAAAATTAGATATAATTCTCAAACAAAAAGATTGTACTAAATTGAGTATTAAATAAAATTCATAAAAACAAAGAAATATGATCAATGATATATACATACCTATTTTAAAAGATTTCTATTCACATTGAAGTTTTATCAACTTTTTTATGGTGGTTTATGTTTAAAAATAATATACTTATGTAATTGATTTTATTTTTAACCGATACCAATTTTTCTAAACATGATATCATCAACTAAAAAAAAATCACAAACATATCCTACATGGCAACACTAGAATCAAAATAATTCCATAAAAGCTTAAATAAAAAACATGAATATCTCAAACTTATTAAAAAAAAAAAAACTTGAGTCTATGTATATATCTCAAGTTATATTAAAAATATCGTATGAAGGGTGGTTACACCGTTGCAATCAATGGTTTAAAGATCAGAAAAATTAGGTAATACCAGCTGAAAGCCAAAAAAGTTTTGGTGTGAGATTTCTCGTATCCAAGCCCATTTATTTGGAGTGAGAGCGTTTCATGAAAATAATTATTAATAACTATTACTAGAAAAAATTTATACAATATTTTTTATATAAACTTATTATTTTATCGCATCATCTTCACAACCTCAAACCATAAATCTAATGATAAAAAAAAAAATTATACAAATTTTATATTTATATCTTATTATTCTTTCGTATCTTTTTCGCAATCTCAAACAATAAATCTTATGATCAAAAAATTTATTTACTTTGATTTCTTGACTTTTTAAATTCAATTTTAGAAAACTTTACAATAATTATACTCATCAGACCAATGACGTAACCTATTTTTTAACCAATCAAGTTAAATTCGCAGCAAAAAATTATTAGCATCCATTCAAGAATTTTAATCAAAAACATTATTTGACTATTAAATAACAACATAAATAATTATAATTTTTAGTTCGGAAACATAATAATAATAATAATAATAATAATAAAACACTCATATTTTACAGCCCGGTAAATATAAATGCTGACCTGGCAAGATCTAGGTTAAAAAAAAAAATAAAATTACTCCATGATAACAAATACTAATAATAACGCTCACCCAACTTCAGCTCTAAAATCTCCTCCTCCATCTCTCTCTCTTTCTCTCTTTCTCTGCAACTTCAATCTTTCAATGGCAACAATAAACAAACCACTAAAGCCAAAACCTCTAACAAAACTCAGATCCCCAATTCTCACTTTAATACTCTGCATTTCAGCCATTGCATTGTTATACTTGTTTTCTTCACTAAATTCCTCAAATGGGTTATCTTTTTCATCTCCAACAACCATAACAGCACCCAAAAGACAACATACAATTCATGAGAAGTACTTGTATTGGGGTAATAGAATTGATTGCCCTGGTAAACATTGTGAGTCTTGTGAAGGTTTGGGTCATCAGGAGTCTAGCCTTAGGTGTGCCCTCGAAGAAGCCATGTTCCTGAATAGGTATGTTTTGTGCGTAAAGCTCTTTTTTTTTTTTTTTAAATCTTGGTTTGCGTTGAAATGTTTTATTATTTGGGGAAAATTAAATATGAAAGGAAATGTTAACTGGATTGAATCGATGTGTGTAGCAATTAAATTATTCAATAACAGTGATTACTTGAAACTAAATGTTAGGTGGCTTTTTTAGTTGTTAAGTTCGGCAACTAAATACTGAAGAGTTGAGATTTCAGTTTTAGCATGTTTCTTATATCGCCATATTATCTTGTTGCAGAACTTTTGTGATGCCTTCAAGGATGTGTATTAATCCATTACACAATAAGAAGGGGATCCTTCATCACTCTGCTAGTTCAAATTCAGAGGAAAGGTAAGTTTATTGTACTTACCTTATGTGGACTGTTGTTATTGCCAAAGCAAAACCTGTGCATCTAGAGTGCTAAATCCAACACTACCTTTTCTATGGTATGATTGTCTTCTCGTTCTTATGAAAAGAAAGATTCGAATTCAGTAAATGGGTTTGCCTTCAAATTTTTAAAGTATGCGTACGTAATGTTAGTCAATCGGAAAAAAAGTAAAGTTCTGTGATCTGAACTTTCTTCCTTCTATTTGGCAGGTGGGCGGAAAGTTCTTGTGCCATGGACTCTTTGTATGATATGGATCTCATATCCGGAACTGTGCCTGTAATCTTGGACAACTCAAAAGATTGGTATCTGATACTATCAACAAGTATGAAGTTGGGAGCTAGGGGAGTGGCCCATGTGGAAAGAATTAGTCGGGTTGATCTCAAAGAGAATAGTCACTACTCGAACCTCTTGCTCATTAATCGAACAGCAAACCCTCTTTCATGGTATGAAAAAAAGCCACAAATTTGGCTTTTTTATGTTTTTTCTTGTCAAATGACTCTAAGTCTGTTAACTGAGTGAATAGGAGCTATGTGAAAATTGGGGAGAGGTGATTGTGGGAAGAAAGATGGATATGTTAGTTTGGATAATGGTTTAAGAGTTGTAAATAATGATAGTTCACCTCTTTGCTTTTTAAATTTCACAATCAATATCGATATTGTTCTTGATGCGCAAAAGTTGTTTGCATGTTTTCTCTAAAGTTTTGAATTGGACTAAATGGCGTGGTTGTAATAAAAAGATTGGTTTTTCTTCAAGTGTTTTAGAGACTTGAACCATTCTAATAAGCTAATGTTGGATAGGAAGTGACTGCTTTATTCAGAGGGGAAAAGAAAAATTAGAAGGAAAAGACTTGTGACTGCTATATGTAGGGAAAAAGGAAAAAGAAAAAAGAAAAGTTTGCACTTGTTATTTTCAGTCTGGCTATTTGTCATAGGATAATTTGTCTTCAAGATTTTTGAATCTTGCAAAATTCTTTCTATGCCCTAACATGATAGCCATTCAGGTTCATGGAATGCAAGGACCGAAACAACCGTAGTGCTATAGCATTGCCATATTCATTTCTTCCTACAATGGCTGCAGAAAGATTAAGGGATGCTGCAAATAAGGTCTGTATTATGTGATATTGCTAGGGTCGCATTGCTTGTTTCACGCCATTTGTCTGCTTGTGTTTCTCCTAAAGCAGAAGTTAATTAACCTGCAATTCATCTCATGTGCACAGGTTATGGCACTTCTTGGTGATTATGATTCCATCCATGTTCGTCGAGGCGATAAAATAAAAACTAGGAAGGATGGGTCTGGGGTTTCTCGAACCCTACATCCTCATCTTGACAGGGATACACGTCCAGAATTTATACTCCGTAGGATTGAAAAATGGGTCCCACCTGGACGAACTCTTTTTATTGCTTCAAATGAGAAGACACCGGGATTTTTTTCCCCTCTTGCTGTCAGGTAAATCTTCTCAAACTTAAAACTTTGAAAATTATATTCACTAATTCTTAGCTGTGAAGTAGCACAAACGATTTGCCATGACAGATACAGATTTGAAAATTCTCAGAAAGAAATAATTTAGAGATCAGCATTGATGCACTAAGAAATAAATTTGCAATTCTGCATCTTTGTATTATTTTTTGTTTTTGTTTTTTTTTTCCTGATTATTTCTTAATTGCAACTTGCTAAATTCATTTAGGAAAAAATCATTCAGCAGTTAATATCTTTTTTTATTAAATCAACCTCTATGCATGCTTGATAGACATTTTTATTTTCTCTTTGATTAAGATGGTTATTTGATATTGTTGAACATGTTTCTGATGCACATCTGCAGTGAGCTGTTTCAAAGTCAATGCTTACTTTCTCTGTAAATGAGTGGCTCTCTCTTTGTGCGGTTTGAGAGATGTACTTGATCTTGTAGAAATATCTCTACCATCATTTCTGGCGATTGGAAGAGACCTTTTGTTTTTGTTCTTGTTTTATTTTTTTGATGTTAAATAAAGTTTTGTTGTTATTTTTATACAATGGTGAAGTTGATGTTGAACTTTGGTCGCTCATATTTTGCAGATATAAATTGGCGTATTCATCTAATTACAGCAGGATCCTGGATCCCGTGATTGAGAACAACTATCAATTATTTATGATTGAAAGACTTATTCTGATGGGTGCCAAAACTTTCGTTAAAACATTCAGAGAAGATGATACTGATCTCAGCCTCACTGACGATCCAAAGAAGAATACCAAGTCATGGCAAATACCTGTCTATTCCATGGATGAAGGAGAGTGAGGAAGCTGATAAAGCATCTATAACCATTACCCTTTCTGTCTCCGATCCAGCCCTTGAGTTCTATCCTTGCATGCAATTTTTGCATATATGGTCATTCTCGCATGACGGTATGGTATATATGACATAGATTGCTTATCTTGGATGAATTTTGTAGCTTTGTTGAAGAGAATCAGCGGGGTGATGAGGGGCCTATTAATCTGCCAATGTATATTGTGAGCTATCTCGTAAGTTTTTAACACAAGGTTGTATGCTTTTTCTTAATAAGTTGATTGTTATTATAGAGAAATTTTGTGGAGAAAGAAGTAACCCTAACCCGTCTTCCACCTTTCCCTGTTCACATGATATCTTATCCCTGTTTTGGACTGACCTAAAATAGGAGATCGATATATTGCACTAAGAACCCTGAAGAGGTTAGGAGAAACTCATTGAGCTAAGGTTTCTTTTGTACCCTTTGGTTCTTTCTAAACTTGGAATTGAAGGAAAATGGAAGAGGAGGATGATGGCTTGTCATGTCACAATAGTGCTCATCAATCATGAACCTATCTAGAGATCATCCCATGTTATCTCGAAACTGTGAATCGACAGGCTCATCCAATCATTAAGTGGAAAAAAGACACAAGTGGGACAATGATGATGCATAGAGTCACCTTAGAAGGCATTATTTGGCACGTGGCAGGTTGCTTGTTTGATGTGAACATTCATCGTGTCCTCTTTTAACGGTTCACATAATGGGACGTAAGCTTTTTTGTGCGAACATGGCTACACATGATCATGTCGTTTTGCCGTGTACAGATCCAGCTTTGTCCCTTTCTCAAAGAGGAAAGACATGTCATTTTCAAGAGACTGTGTTCTATACATATGTATATGTATATATGCATGTATATAGAACATATCTAATACATTCGCTTAAAGTTTTTTTTTTTTTCTTTTTTCAATGCTCTTAAAATCAAATAATAATCTCGAGAGCAAGCTTTTTTTAATCATCTAAATGAAAACCATAGATGTTTATTTAAAAATAGTAATAAATTTAATTTATAAAGAAAAATCTTAATCATATATAAATACTTGAAAGTTTTAAACCTATTGTTAAAACTTGCAAATTTCATTGTTTTATCTCATGAAGTTATTTTACATCATTCTGAAAATATGAGGTATGGCATTTTGAATGAAAAGGAATTAAAATAGATATAAAAATTATTACCAAAAAAAAAAAAAACATGTGGTGACTTTTGTTTCTATTTCTCTCCCCTGTTTTTTCGATTAATTAATATTTTATAATCGAGTCTTTTGTGTTGTTACGATTTTACCTTTCTTTTTTCTTTTCCATTTCTATCAGTGTATTTCTTTCGTTGACAGAGCATTTAATGCTCTCGTGTGGTCTATATGGTGTGTGGCCTCGTCTCCCATGTTTTTTTGATACATAGGATTGCACCTAGAAAATTTTGGTCATGACCATTGACCCCCATGTTGAAAGTTGATACATCCAATCACGCTTGACAAAATATATGTATAAAAGATTCGACCATTAAGACAATTAATTGGTTATTATTATTTTAAAACGATTAGTTATAGTTCCACCAATAATATCTTGGTATTTTTTTTAATGCTAAGTTATTTAAGTTAAAAAAATTCACTTGTATTAATATTGTAACCAGGAGCTTAATTCTTGATATTTCTATTCACAATTAAAAGAACGAAGTAATATGATTAAAAAAAATAATTTTTTTAATTTTTTGATACATTAAACTTTGTAAAATGATCATTTTAGAACAGTGTCATTGTGAATAGCAACATGAGACGTTGCAGAGGAACGTGGAGAAGTGCAAGACAGCATGAGAAGTTGTAAAAGAATATGCAACACTGTAAGGAATCAAGAAAGGACCAGAAGGTTGTAAATACAAGCTACACTAGAAAAAAAACAAATAATACAACTTTAAAGTAAACTCAATTTGTAATTTATAGACAATTCTCAGAGCTCTGTTGTATGTAGTAATCAAACACAGATGGATTTGTAGAGAAAATCATATTTGGAGGAAGAGTATCAACCTGTAAGCATTCTTCATCATTAATAAATGAAGGTTTCTTTTAATTTTTTAAGCATTGTTAAGTTTGTAACCTTATTTTATTAGTTTATAAGTAAATTCATAAAAATTCGAATATAAAAACAGATTGCCTTGCAGATTACTATTGAACTACCTTTTTTTTTAAAAAAAAATTAATGTTATTGAAACGCTATAGTAAAATTGACTCCGAAATATCCTTTATTGCTGAAAAATAATATAAAGAAACCGTTAATAATATTGTGATTAAATTATAAATTAGCCTTTTTTGTTTTGAAAAATAAATTAGTTAGTCGTTTTTGTTTTAAAAACTAATCATTTAGTCCTATATTGTTAAATTTTTACCAAATCTATCAAATTAACACCTAATATCTAAAATACCCTTAACATATATTTTCATCCATGAAGATTTGTTTTTGTGCTCAAGGAGAGTGAAAAGATAATAAAATGAGAAGCGGTGATTTGAAGAGAGAAAATTTGAGGATAGAAATAGGGATTTGTTTTGGTGATTGAGAAGAGAGATCGAGAGGAGATGAATGTGAATGAGAAAAATAATGTCTAAAAAGAAGAATAATTTGAGAACAAAAAATATTATAATAAAAACACATCATCACCACTCTCACAAAAAAAAAAAAAAGTTATTGGCATGATTAAAACATGAAAAACTAGCTATTAGATTTTATAATAAATTAGAGTATTTAATTTATTTCTCGAGAGGGATTCATTTATAATTTATTCGTAGTATTGGCAAAAAAAAAAAAAAAAAAAAAAAAATATATATATATATATATATATATATATATATATATATATATATATATATATATATATAGAAGGAACCAATTATATATATAAAAAATAAAACTAAAAGAAAATGTAAAACTATTGTAGCACTTTAATGTGGATTAATTGTTCACAGCTTTTTTTTTCGTTTGATGTAGCCAAGGTCCTTTTTTAGCTTTTAGTAACTAAAAGACAAAAAAACCTTTGTCAAATTAATCCAATTTTTTTTCTCATAATTTTTTTAAAAAATTATTTTTAAATTTTAAATTTTATATAAATAAATAAATAAGAATACAGTATAGCTCCCCTCACGGTAACTCACGGAATATATGTTAGGTAATAGCTAAGACCAAAAGAAGGGGGAAAATCCGACGTGGAACTTACAAGACTGAAAAGCAAATCAATCTCCACCACCTGGCTCTATATTCCCACGTCACTGCTCATCAACCGAAAGTGTATGGCGGACCAGATGAATTATTTGTATAATGGATATCATATATTTTACGTGAGCAGGGTAGAAAAGCCCAATTTCACTGGCACGTATCAAATCAGTTATTCACACGTGCCAACCCTCCTTCTATAAATTCCAGCCACACTATCGAAAAATCGCAGCAGTAGTCGTAGACGTAGCCAAATATAAAAATCAGCACAGAAGAAAAAGATTCCATTCTTTTCCGGAATATTCCCCCTCAGGTTAGTTCAAAATTCTCTGCGAAATTAAAAATTTTCCCTACTTTCGAGTTAATCCAAAAAATATCCTTTTTAATGTAATTTTTATTTATTTATCTTGCTTTTGCTTAAATAATTCCTTACTTTTTCGCAGGTGAAAAGAAGCTTTGATTTTTAAATTTTTTTCCCGTGATGCCGTATCTTGTACGCGAGAATCTTTTCATCGGAAACATAAGCGACGCGGCGGAGGTTCTGCAGAACGGAAGTACGGAAATAACGCATGTTTTATCGGTTTTAAGTTCCGTGTCGATATCGTTCTTTACGGAATGGAGAAGCGGTGTGATAATTCCGGCGAAGGAGATAAAGAAAGTGTTTGTCGGCGATGGTGATGATGAGTGGAGGAGTTGTTTGACGGTGAATAAGGTTTTGTATGGGTTAGAGTATGCAGGGAAGGATTTGAAGCTGGTGAGAATGGCGGTGCCGATTAGGGATATGGAGAGTGAGGATTTGTTGGATTATTTGGATGTGTGTTTGGATTTTATTGAGAAGAGTAGAAAAGAAGGAGCTGTTTTGGTGCATTGTTTTGCTGGCGTTTCGAGAAGGTATAATAATGGTAATCATTTTCATGAAAATGATTGTCTGTATTTTTTTATTTATTTAAATTAGTGATTATTATTCTTAATTTCGGGTTAAATTGATATGGAAATGGAATTAGAGGTGGATAATGGATTCGAGTAGTACTGATATTTATCCCAAATGAGTTTTCAGAATGGTATGAACTCCATTTGGGACCCACCAGTCAAGTCTGCTTCATTAATGGTTGGTAATATTCGTGAAACTTGTACGGAATGAAAATGGATATTTTGAGATGAAGTACATTACTCTATTTTTGCATGTCTATCTGCTTGGATTTTGATGTACAGATTTGTGATTTTTTTTTTTTTTAGCAGTCAAGAAGTCTGTTTTGATATTTTCAGTGGATCAGTTTGTTATCCTGAAGTGGATTGAATTAGAAAAGAGTGCTTTAGGTTATTATCTGACCCAATTGATTTGTGTTAGAAATTGTCCAGAGCAGACCTGCCGTGAATTGTCGAGCCCTAATGGTTTGGTCCCTTCTTTCATTGTTTTCTTTGCAGTGCAGCTATCATCACAGCGTACTTGATGAAAACTGAACAATTATCTCTTGAAGGTTTGAACACATCCACTTTTTACTTGTAGAATTTTGGGTCTGCTGATTAGTATATGCTGTGGCCTTCATTGTTTACATTCTGAAAATCTGGTGGTTCTTATGTCTGAGAATAATGAAAATATGTGATGTTATTTCTTTGGATTTTGTGTGTTATTTAATATTTCATCCTTTTCTTTGTGCATCTTTTCCCTTTGTGTCCCTGCAGATGCTCTTGAATCTCTAAGGCAAAGCTGTGAGTCTGTTTGTCCCAATGATGGCTTTTTAGAACAGGTGATGCCGCTAAAGAAACCCACATGAGTTGTTGGGATGCATTAATGATGAATTTGAGATATTAGTGTCTAATGCGATCATCATAAATCTTATTTATTCATTTATTTTCCCATTGCAGTTAAAAATGTTTGAGCAAATGGGCTTCAAGGTTGATCATGCTAGTCCCATATACAAGCGGTTTCGACTGAAAGCATTGGGTACGTGTTCTTAGTATTTTGATCTTGATTTTCTGTTGTAAATTATTTTGTGGTCTGATAATGCAGGAGGTCATTAATTAGGGCTCTGCATAAGCAGAATCTTGGAAGTGTGACATTAGTATGCTCTTAACCTTGGGCATTTGCATGAAGTGGTTGCTCCCAAAACTTGAATCTGCATATAAGAGTTGGCATAGCATAAGTGGTGTTGCATTTGATGCTTTCCCTACTTATCCAATGAAATTTCATTCTTAAATTTCTCTCAAGACGAACATTATTATGGATCTTAAACTTAGTACCATCCGTTATGTCTGTTAGAAACATATTCTTCCCGTAACAAACACACAGGATTATTAGAAATGGTGAACATGTGAATAACCTTTTTATGAAGGATTAATTCCCTATGCTTCCAGGTGAGTTTTACAACCGTGGAGAGAAGATAGACAGCTCTAAATTTGGGGCAGATCCTGGCATACCCACACAAGTTTCCTCTGAGGAAGAAGCATCTCCAAATGCAGGGAAAATCGGTATTCCTGCATACCGCTGCAAGAAGTGCCGTCGAGTAGTTGCATTGCAGGAGAATGTTGTGGATCATGTTCCAGGAGAGGGCGAGACGTCTTTTGCATGGGGCAAGCGGAGAAGTGGCAACCCCTTTGACAAGGCTGATGAATCTGAGTGCTCATCTATTTTTGTTGAGCCTTTAAAGTGGATGACAGCAGGTATGTGCAATCTTATTCTTAGAAATTCTGTTGCCATTGGACTTTTTTACTGTTCATATATTACATGATACCATTAATGTAGTAGCTCTTCCTTGTGGTCCAGTTGAGGAAGGTGCGTTGGAAGGCAAGTTGTCCTGTGCTCATTGCGAAGCTCGTTTGGGCTACTTTAATTGGTCAGGTATCCAATGCAGTTGTGGGAGCTGGATTACTCCAGCCTTTCAGCTCCATAAAAGTCGAGTGGATGTTAGCACTGTCTAACGCCTTTGAGGCAAAAGAAGATGCTAGCTTATGTTATGCCTACCAGAAAGCTCAGTTTTCCCAGCGGAATTGATACCATCTAAAAAGAGTATACCATTTCCACGCCAGTCTGCACTTGCACAGAATGAGCAATCCCCACAGAATGAGAACCCCCAGAGCGTTTTGTGAAGTTGCCATGCATTTTCCTCGAATACCTCTCTGGGGCTGGAGCAACAGATTTGTAACTTGAGTGAAATATTGTCTTGTTTTTGTTGTATGATGATGCCATTCCATTACACAAATTTGCTTGGTAGTTTGGGTTTTCTCCAAATTGTTTTGGTCCTAAAATGTCTTTCACAAGGCTATAAATGAATGAAGAGCGAGGGTTAGCTAGCCCCCTTGTATTTCCACTTGATCTTACCTCAATCTACACAGCTTTGTTAATTGCTTGGAAGCTTCGCTTCTGTGTCTTCTATTTTGTTCATTCGGCCATTTGGCTGTTGTCTATTCTCTTGCTGTTTTCACTCTTCTGGTTGGTTCCAATTCAGTTGGTATGCAGTGGAGTTATATAAATGCCCACTTAAATGGGTATCAAATGCCCTTATCGAGCGAGCGATTTCAACGAACAAAATACATAAATTCCTGTTACGATGGCAAAGTTAATAGTATTGCAGCGAGGGTTAACCTCCTTTTAATTCAGTCTTTACGCATTCCCAGCCGAAGTTAAAAATTCTTTTTATTTATTGAATTTATCTATCTATTCTTTTTGTTCCTTCGGACAAGCTTGTTCCGCTTATAAGAATTAGTTCAGATCCTATCCTGTCCAAACTCTGTACCAAACACTGCAATGTTCTCATATTGTGTTTTATCCGGTATTACCTTACCCATGAATTTCCCAAGCATAGTTTTAAATAACGGCTGTTATGTAACGGTTTTGAAATATGCCGTTATTGTTATTTTAGTGTTATAATAAGTTGCGATTCACGATAACGATCATGATCGTTTTTTCAACTATCCGCAATTTAAAACTATGTTTCCACGGCATAGCCAGTTGTAACCATCTCGTAACATCTAAACTTCATTTTTTTTTTTTTTTATTTCTCATATTCTTCAGTGTTTTCTGCTAGCAAAGCCTCTCATAGCAATTGATCCTTACAAATCTGCGTATAGCAGCAGAGGTATGTGTCATAACGGTTTTGCTCTCAGCTTTCTTTATTCTTGTCTTTTTATGGTCTTTCGTCATATATTGTATAGAAAAAGACTATATAATAAGGGTTACATAGTTACTGTGTGCGATAATTAGTTGCTTTTGAGTTTGCGATGCACATACTGTACTGATGTCAGGACATCATGAACATGCCTGATTCCAATGCCCTTTAATCAGTAAATTTGTTAATTGAACTCTGGTAAAAAAATCCTTATTTTATTTTATTTTTATTTTTAAGCAGCAAAGCTGTTAATTCTCAAATTTCTTGTGTCAGAGGGAGGAAAGAAATGGAAATCCTTGTTTCAGTTGCATCAAAAACTGGATGATGTTTGGGCAGACCTTGATTTTGAGAAAATGGGCATCACATCCTGGAATGATCACAAAGGGTGCAAAATTATGTTGACATCCCGAAGCAGAGATGTCCTCAGTATGATGAAAAGTCAAAAGGAATTTTACAATCTCAGTCTTGTCGGAAGATGAGGCTTGGGAATTTTTCCGGGAGATGGCAGGTGGCTCCATAGATTGTTCTACCCACAGCGAAAGAAGTTGCAAATGAATGTGGGGGTTTACCACTTGCTATTGCAATTTTTGGAAAGGCACTTGGCGACAACGATGAGTATGCATGGGAGGACGCACTTCAACCATAGTTTTAAATCGTGGATGGTTGAAAAAACAATCGCAGTTGTTATCGTAGATCACAGCTTATTATAATACTAAAATAACAATAATGGGATGCTTCAAGACCGTTACATAACGATCGTTATATAACGGCCATTACGTTATAGAATTGAGTTTCCATTTTTGGGGAGCGAAAGAAGCCAAGTCTTGCTTCTTGCTATGTTGCTTATTTCCAGAAGATTTTGACATTCCGATTGAATATCTAGTTAGACATGGAGTGAGTTTCGAGTTGTTTGATGACAACATCAATACAGTAGAAGAAGCAAGGTATCGAGTTCGTGCTTTAGTTGACAAGCTGAAAATATGCTCTCTATTGCTGGACAGCAACAAGAACACGCATATCAAAATGCATGATGTTGTGCGCGATACCGCCATATCGATTGCATCAAGTGGTGAAAATGGATTTCTGGTAAGATGTGATGCTGTAATGAGAGGGTGGCCTAAAAAGAAGAAGACATTCAAAGATTGCACTGCCATTTCGCTTATAAATTGTGAAATTCATGAACTTCCTGAAGATTTGGTGTATCCGAAACTTATGCTTCTACAGATCATAAACATTTTTCGCCATTCAAGTGCAATTCCACATAATTTCTTTGATGACATGAAAGGACTTCGAATATTAGCTTTGGGGAAAATGGGCATCCTGTCTCTACCATCATCAGTCCAATTTTTGAAGAACCTTCAAGCTTTGTCAATAGAGAATTGTGCTGCTTCTTTAAAGGACACTGACATCTCTGCTATTCAAGCACTGGAGAAGCTCGAAATCCTCAGCTTTGCAGGATCTAGTATTTCAAAGTTGCCAAAGTAAATAGGACTTCTTAAGCATCTGAGATTGTTGGACTTGACAAGATGCCACTCTTCTAGATACATTGTGGCAGGTGTCCTATCAAGTTGGTGCTATTTAGAAGAGTTGTATATGGGAGACAGTTTTGATAGATGGGAATCTCCAGAGGAAGATGAAGGGAAAACCAATGTTGGCCTTGCAGAACGGAAGTCCTTGTCTTATTTGATGGTTTTGGTTATTCATGTACCGGAAGCCAAAGCTATTGCCTAAAGATTTGCACTTCAACAACTTGAAGAGATTTGATATATCCATAGGCTTTGAAAATTGTTGGGAAGATTTTCAATTCCCAAAAACTGACACTCGAAGCCGGTGCAACATATATTAGGCTTCCATGCTTTGGCAACCTAAAATTTCTTGAAGTTTGCGGCTGTCATGAAAAATGTAGTTCCAATGTCCATAGCTAGGAGTTTAGTTCCACTCCAAGTCTTGGAGGTTACTTCTTGCAATAAGATGGAAGCAATCGTTTCAAGAAATGAAGGAGTTTAGTGTATTCTCAAATGCTTTCCCCATGTTGCATTTCTTCCTGCAGATGAGGGCTTCAGCTGGAGATTTGAAGTTTGAGGCAACTTTGTTCTTGAATGCTTTATGCTATGTTTGATTCTCAAGCACTTGTAACTTGCAAGTCTTACGCAATTTTTTTTCTGCTTTTTTCGATACAAATATGTGTTTAAGAATTAAGAGATATCTTGCAAATGATTGAGACATGGCTCGAACCTATCAATGTTAATTTCTTGAAGACTTCGTTAATTTTTATAAAATTATTTTTGAGTTTATTTTTTTTGATGAAATCTTATGGAAAAAAAAGAAAGTAAATTATTAAAAACATCTTATATTTGGATTACGAAAACACTTTACATCTTTATTTTTTAAATATTACATTTCATATCTTAAGATTTTAATATTTGTATTAGAAAACATCATGTATTATAATTTGGTTTGAAGTGTCAAAATTCCGGATAAAAAAAAGGTTCAAATTTTTACAAATTTGCTATTATATTTTTTAAATGACCACAATGCCCCTTAAAATTTCTCCAGCACAAAATTGCAGAAATAAACCTACGTCAAGAATTTCTTTCACTACATCCCAAAGAGATGCCCAAATGCAACTTTTTATCAAAGACAAATAAGTGAATGTCTGGAGTGAACTTCTAGTGAACATAAACTTTCAGTGCAACTTTTGGCTTTCACAAGCACCAATAGCAAGATGATAGGATGAAACTGGAAGTCCAGAAGCTTCCACCTGCCATAAAAGCTGAAGAGCTTTATCGATCCCACAAACCGAGCTTCTGGCATGGCATTAGGGCAGGGTTGTATAAATGCTCATTCAATTGACAGTCTTGCTCTCTTTTTAATGTCTCAAAGAGCTGAAGAGAATCAACATGTTGGTTTGCCCTATGTAGACCTCAAAATAATGCATTCCATGTATACATATTCATCAGGAGTATGACCCAAAAACTTAAAAATTTCAAAGACCTTAAATGCTAGTTCTATCTCCCAAGTAAATTGATCTATGCATTACAGGAACTAAGATTGATTCAACATATTTTGGAAGACATCCAAAGCCAAGTCCCATTTCCCCTCCTTTGAACTTGCACCTATTACAACATGCATTGTATGCTCCCTTGGTTTCAAAGCGTTCTGAACCATCTTGTTGTAAGCATTAAGTGCTAACTCACTCGAGAAATTTTATAATACTTAAGGAGTAATTAGTGATATAAACAGTAGTTATTCTATGAAATCATTTTGAGGAGAGAGATAGGCACATAAAAAAGAGAGAGAATTACATCCGGACTCACCAAAAGTGATAAGAAGACTTTTCACGTTGGCTCAATTATTATTTTTTAAAATTTCTCTTTGCTATTTTTCTCTCCTTTTTATATGTTTATCTCTCTCGTTAAAGTGATTCCATAGAGCTATTATAAAATTTCTCCACTCACTTTGGCTACAACGAAAGAAAATGCTAACTAATAGCAACTTGTGTTCCGTGAAAGCCATTTTCCTTCTTATTTCTCCATATTCTCTCGGCTTCGAACCATAAAAAAGTTGGAATAAACAATTATTTTTTGCCTAACAAATCAACATTAAACAAATTTAGGGTTTTTCGGATCTAGATATTTTTTTGAATTTTAAACGGACCAACAACAAAACCTTAAAACCCTTTTTTTAAATGATAAACAAATTGTTTTCAAGCAAAATTTAAATATTTAAAAAATTAGGGTCTTCAAAAATTGCAATCGCAAATTAAAATTTCTTTAAAACAATAGATTTTTTAATGGGTTTTGCTCGAAATTACATAAGGTTATATTAATTCAAAATTTTAATGAATTAAACACATTTGGTTTCAAGCAATTAAAATTTTAGGTTACAAAATTTGCATACCTAGATTGAGCTTCAAATCGTTCTCCAATCATCTTCAATTCGACTCAATACTATTACAGCAATGATAAATCAACGAAAACACCGATAAAACACTTCGATTACAATAGATTTAGGTGTTTTAGATCAATATTCTACACAACTTCTCTCTCTTTCAACAGATTTAGGTGTTTTGAAAAATAAGGATGCAAAGTGTTTCTACCACCAAAATACAAGGAGTTTTGAGTAATTTATCTAAAAAAAATAAGGCATATGTTTTTGGCTTTTTGATTGAGACTTGCTATTTAAATTATTATAATTTTTTAGTTAAGAAACTATGAATAAATAAAAGCAAATGTTGTTTTTTTTTATAATAAATTTAAAGAAAAGAAAGAAAGAATTAATTAAATACAATAATTTATTAATTGAAGCTCCTCTAAGCAACTCAATTAATTTCTCTGTGGAAGAATTGACGCACAATAGCACAGCTAAATAACACCATGCCGTACTGAATCGCTGAAAAAAATCTCTCTTTTTTCTTTTCTTTTGTCATTTGAAATTATGTAAGGATCTAATCGTGTTATTTGGATCGCTTACATGCCTAAAGTATTTATTTTTTTCCCTTGTTTATTTTCATTACCGTCTATAAATCTTCAAAAACAACTAATTTGTTAATTTCAACTTAAATAGCTTCCTGATTTCAACAACTTTTACGAATAATGTTGCTTAGACGTAGCCATGCAATAGCCTCATTTTGTAAAAAGTTAAATCACCCAATATCAATGAATATATTAAAAACTAGTCCCTCTTGTTTCGGACGAATTACTTAATCCTTATCATTTCAAAAACTAATCATTTCGTTTTTCATATTTTAATTTTATCAATAATTTTTTTTTTTTAAGTTTTCCATTAGAATTACGATGAGTTCTCGTTTCGGATGAATTAATTAATCATTTTTTTTTTCAAAACCTAATCATTTAGACTTTCCCATTTTAATTCAATCAATAACTTAGTCTTTTTGCAAGTTTTTTTTTATTAAAATAGTGATAAATTATCCTTAATACAATATTTTTTTTCCTTAAATTATCCTCTCTTTTTTTATACATTATTTCTCTCGTTCACACACATCTTCTCTATCTCACTTTCTTCGAGTACCAAAGCAAATTTTTATTTCTCTTATTAAATCTTCATTTCTCATTTTATTCATCTCCACTTTCTCTCTCCTCAAACATCAAAACACATCCTCGTGAATAAGCACATATAATTTTTTTTTTTTTAAAGTAAGTGTTTTATGTTAATAGTATATATGTTAAATAAAATATTAAGTATTTGATGTTAACAAGTATATATGTCAAAGAATATTTTTTGCATTTGAGTTTGACAAATCCGACAAAAACTTAACCATAAGAATTAAATAATTAGTTTTTAAAATAAAAAAGACTAATTAATTTATTTCTCAAAACAAAAGGGACTAATTTATAATTTACACAAATATCAATAGACAATCCAATTTCAATCCAGTTTAGATACGAATATGACGTAACGTTTTTATGTTTTTTTTTTTCTGTTTTTGTTTTTGGTGATCGTTGAAGCTTCTATATGATATAATACTTGTTGATTTTGAAGCTTTCATACCGCATCCAAAAAATCTATATAAAAGAACTTTCAGTTGTAAATAAAAACATGATGTCTGTCAAACATGCTTAGATATAACCAAACGTTAGAATTCACATGATCATTTTCTATCATTGCTTCCAATGCATTGCCCACTTACAGCATTGCGTGGGCAACAAACTACACCAACCTGTATTCACACACCAAATTTCCAATTATAAAAGGGATGCAAATGACAGTTTGTGCACAGCAGGATCTAGATCAGGATGTGGGAGAAAAAGCACAAGCAACATTAGGGAGTGGGGTGTTCGCTATGGGTTGCCATATTTGTGTATGTGCAGGGAACACAAAAATGAGCATGCATGAATACACGGCGATAGCGGCAGCAGCATACACAGACAGAGAAGAATTAACATGAAATCCCATAACTACCCAATCTGCAAATTCAATGTTTGTCTGTATAAATTTACAAATGTGTCAGCATATGAACACGACCGTTTTCATCAGATGTCCCATAAGAGATCAATTGATCAGAAAGGCTACAAGTATGCGAAGACTACTATGTACTTGCCCCTCCATGACCTGCATGCATTCAGATATGCTGTCAACAATTGTACTGGTTCCTAGGTTTTAGTCACATTGCTCCGTGAATTACTAATCTCAAAAGAGATAACTTGGGAGGAATAAACCCAGATAAGAGAAACAAGAAGGATAACACTAAAAAATGATGCAAGCAGCACCTTGACGAATTCCCGAGTGTTGATCTAGTTATCAAAATAAGTTCATCCGATTGATCACCCTGTCTCATTATCGATGGGTTTATCTCCCAATTAACATTCCATTTTGCAGCATTGATGAATCAGTGGGACTGCGCTTCAATAAGGATGTTGGTAGCTGTATTCACGTCATTCCTAGCCTGCACAAGAGCCTGTCTAGCTGAGTTCCTATCAAAGCCCATAGAAACCATAGTGGTAATGGCATCTTCTGTTGGCTCCGTGGAAGGAGCCACAGGAGCAGGATGGATTCTCTGAAACCAACAAGAGAGATCAGTTATTATGGATAAATTAAATGCAACTAAGAAAGTTACACTGGTGCAATACAAGCAATTGATTCACACTGTATCCATTTCAGAGGTAAGAATTTATTGTTTCAAGTGCAAGATTCCAGAAAAGAAGACATCGCCTTAAATTTGGGGTCTCGGGCCTCCGAAAGATTTTTCAGAGAAAACTGACCTTTTAGACTTATAAATCTATCTGTTTGTAATTGCCAAACTCAGGTCCCGACCTCCAAAAAATAAAAAGCGAGGGAAATACAAAGAAAATGATGGTGATGGTGACAAGGGAGCCTAAGGAGGGAGAGGGGAGGTAGGGGTGGGTGTTATCAAAGGACTTGCCTCCACATGACGACCAGCATAGGTTGATGGACTTCCTGTACTTCCTGTTACATTCCTAGTAGTTGCTCCACGCGGACTGCTCATACGAGGCCAAGAAAGCCGCGAGAAGAATGAAGCTATGAACTCGGGTAACTGGAACAGATAGAGTAGACAAGTGCAATAAAGTATTAGTTTAATAGCTTCAAGTCAGCTTTAGCAATGGGAAGAAGGCAAATAAAAATTCACACAGCAAACAGATCAAACATTTGTATTAAATTAATTAAAAAAGAAAACAGATTAAGGAAAAAGGCAGGAAATAATGCTTTCTAAAGCAATATCTTAACTGAGCTTGTTTTCTTTAAATCAGACAGTTATGCAAGTTAAGAAACAGAAACAACTATTTGATGATGAAACAAACAAACATCGTTATTTGTGATTTTACACATAGGTAGAGCAAGTGAAGTCGAAGCATATCCTGCACACACATGCAAACATCTCATTTCTTCACATTGTAGAACCCTAAAAAGCGCCACAGATGATCAAAGATCTGATGTTTCAAGATAATCATAATGCAACTGATTTTTTGTCATCATTAATCTCTCAAACGGGTCTGTACAGGAATGATCAAATCATAAAAAGTTCTAAACTATAGTGAAGATTAAAATCATATTGAAACTTTTTGCTCAAATACAAGCCCCATAATGTATGCAGCAAACTTAAAAATACACCACCATATGACCACCACATGAACCAAGTTAATCTACTACTTTATCGCTGTTGAGAAATTTACTCAACCTACCTATATAAATACAGTAAAGAAGTTCTGTTTTAAGTTAATTTCAAACTCAGAATGTCCTATGAGGAATCTTCTCAACCAATATTTGTACACATACAAATAACATCCTGTTAAGTTAATCAGATCTCCAACAAACAATTTCCTATTGAGGATTTTCTCAACCAATGCAAACATAGAGCAAAAAAGTTCCACTTAAGTTGATCAGATCTCCAACAAACAATTTCCTATCGAGGATTTTCTCAACCAATGCAAACATAGAGCAAAAAAGTTCCAGTTAAGTTGATCAGGTCTCCAACACACAATTTCCAATTTTATTTCAATACAAAGCAAAGACCTAAAGAAAAAGATACCTCACAATCTAAGCTATCATCTTTGGTTGTTGACATTTAGTTGCAGGACGGAAAAAGTGAAACCAACAAACCTACCTTTGCCTTGCGGATGCCAAAGAGATTCAGACGATACAAGGAACCAGCAAGGATACCACATATCCCAGGCAAGATTGATCTTTTCCAGGATGATAAAAGGAGCTGCAAAACAAAAGTTGATATTGGATCTCTGGGGTTGGAAAGAGAAACTGAGGGGCAGATGTGGCAGAAAGCAAAGGCAAAAAAGGAAAAAATAAAAAAGCAAATTTCACACATGGAAGAGCACAAGTGTTCTCTTTTACCTGAACACCGGCTAGATATATGAAAGACTTATCAGAAAAGTGGACGCCAAAGATTCGAAACCGAGTTGATATTGGAATGTCAAAGTAGAAGGGAATAAATGAAGCAAATATAAGACCATAAGGTCCTGATGTCAGAAGGTTGGCTGAGGGATCTGCATGTAAACAGACGCATTAAATTGTAGCGCACAATTGTAATGCAGCAGAAGAAAACATTTTGCTGAAAAATATTCTAGTCACCTATAAAAGAAGTGTGAAGTGAATACATAAATAAATAGACTCTTATTTTGCCAGGACACAGCTAGTCACATAAACTTGCACCCTTAAAATATAGCATATAAGAAACATTGTGTTGAATTCTTCATAATCAAAGGGTTGTATTCTGGTATCTACAAGCCAGAAAATGTCACAAGGTATGCAGGCAACACTAAATTTGACTGTGGCCATACAAGCCAGAAAATGTCACAAGGTGTGAAGTCTGTCACCACAACCCATGATTAAAAACCAAATATTTGACCTCCAGGTTCTTGTCCCAGAACTTCCTAACCTGACCTCCACTGAGGTTCTTCTTCAAGAAAAATAAAAGGAGCGATGGACAATATATATCACTATATTACTAAGAAAAATGAGAGAGCATAGTAGAAATTTTACCCAGTTAGTTTTTAAGGTGAAAAAAAAAAAAAAATTACAACAACTTCCGTTTAACTGGGTCATATACTTGAGCATGTAAAATATAACTAGATACAGAAAGATAGAAGCTAATCATCTGCCAGGTAACGAATTTCCATTTAGAAATCCAACAGCATGTGATTGAACGGTTCATAAAAAAAGGTTTGAATGGATAAGCCCTCCCCAAGACGGTCTAGAACAGATGCTTGAAATAAATGTACAAAAGAGGAGTAGAGGTTTGTCTCATTCATACAACGCCAACAGTCTAACAACTTCCCTCATTTATGAGGTGAGGCCTCTCAAAGAGAGAAAACAGAACACACCCCCTGTAGGGAGGAAGAGGGGGCCTTAAGCATTTAGCCTTAGCTAAAAGCATTGACCACCAAGCAATTGTAGACGATATTTCTTAACAATTTTGGAAATATGAAACATTGTAAAGAGATAATGAAGAAGCACTTTGAGAAATAGCAATGTATGGAACCAGGAATACAGGACATACCTTTAAGGAGTGCAACAGCAAAGACCTCAAAGAGCAATGAAACCATCACAGAGAATAAAATAAAGACCTGCATAATTTGGGCAGACTTTCAATATTTGAAAGAACACAAAAAGGAGAAGAACAATATAGAAAGAAAAGCACACACTAAAACACAATCAGATTAAGTTTCTTTACTATATCCAACCTTGATTGGCAAAAGAGAGCCAAAACCAAATTGTAAGCTAAGCAACCAAAAAAAAAAAAAAAAGAAAGAAAGAAAAAGGAAAGAAAGAAAGAAAGAAAGACAAAAGAAACATTAAGAAAATATAAAGAAATAAATTCATACTGTGATTGATCAAAACAACAGATCTCCATTTAACAAACATGTGTTTCTCAAATGAGTAAATTTTTCATCAAAAACAAATGGTAAGAGGTAACAGCACACAGAATTATACAGACATGCCGAATCTCTGACTGTAGAAATATTGATAATGTCGATTTGGAAAATCTGTCTCATATCCCAAGCCCCAAAAAATTTATGAGCAAATTAGGCTGGAAGATAACTCACCGAGTACTTGTTGGAACCAATCTGTCTCTCAAAGACCCTGAAGTAGTAAAGAAGATATAGTCCAAACATCATTTCTGGTGTAGATGAAAAGGCAAAAACTGAGAAAATTAACTTCCAGAGACGTGGATTCCTGAAAATATCCTGCAATAAGGAAAAACTAAATTTCATAAGGTGCGATCCGGTTTTAAAATGGAGGTTTACAGTACACAAGAAATAACAGAATATTATACTTCAAGGTCAGCTGTCCACACGTCATATACACAGTGAAGAGTAGGTTCACATCCTTTTCCTCCTCCAACTCACCTTGTTTCAACCATTGCTAAACAGATACTTTTATCGAATTGTAATTTGATAAGGCTAAACTATATAAAGATGGATATTTAAAGGTAGAATACAGAGAGATCCACCCATATCCTATAAAATCATGATGTTACATGCCTTAATTTTCAACTTCAACACACACAATCCTCACAAAAGGATGTTACAGAATCAAGATCCTACTCTCACACTACTCTTGAGCTGACTCTCTCAGATATTTCCACCATCTGATAACATTATCATTTTCAAAAAGATTCAGCTTGTCCATCCTCCCAAATCAACAATATTCCACAAAACCAACCAACCCCTAGAGATTCCCTAACCAACTACATGCTCTATCATCCCAGTTATCGCTAATTCTACTCTAAACTCTCCTTGCCTCACTTTTCTATACCCATCAAGCAACCTGTTTTGTTCTAATTTTACCTTCTAAGCAATACATTTCTAACCTCAAATTCAAGCTCAGAACGAAATTATTAAAGCAAAGATAATTAGCAACTAAACTAGATATTTTAAATTAAAAAAGGAAACCCAGTAATATTCTTTTAGCAACAAAACAAAATTTCTTCTCCTGATTCAATCAATCTAACACTAAAGTAAAACCCAGAAAAAACCCACGTCAAAACAACAACAGGAAAGTCAATGGAATGTACCTGATACGATAATCCAAGCTTGTTAGAGCCACCTTTGATCCCCAAGAAAACGGTAAAGATGGCGCTTGCAATAACAAATGTTTTTGTAATTGGTGCATTGTCTATTTATCGCCAAAACCCAAAAAAAAAAAAAAAAAAAAAACAGCAATCGTAAAATTTAGATACGTATCAATTTCAACATAAATCAATGAAAATGAAAAAAGAGGTGTTAATGGGTATTACGCACTGAAACCAGATGGGCCGCCGTTCATCTTTCAGAGTCAAAGAGGAGGAACAAAGCCACGACTACGACGACCTTTCTACTATTTTCTTCGTTTCTGTTGGTGTCCTTTTTGTGAAATTACAAAACTCTTTTTTGAGTTTTAAGAGGAGGTTGATGGTAGATGGGAAACTTTGATGGAATTCTGAAATATGGAAGTGTGTTTATGTTGTTGCTATTATTATTGTATTTTATTGTCTAATTTTGAATAAATTATAAATTAATTCCTCTAGTTTTGTATAACGAATTATGTTTTTGTAACTGGAACATTCTAGACTCCACTAACCAATTTTTTACGGTGGAGATAAATATATTGAACATTTCTTATAAAAAAATGAGGAAAAATTAGATTTTTTTTTTTTTGAGAATGATAAAAAAAAAAAAGATTTTAAGCGTCTATTGTATGCAGGTTAGCATTTTAATACTAATTATATGTGAAACAATAGAAATAAAAAGAATATACCCAAAGATTTTTTTCAAAAAAAAAAAAAAAAAAAGCAAAAAGAGTTAATATCTAATGGCACTATAATGCAAATGTGGAAATTCGTGGACTATCACATCAACGACTCTATTAATTTGACAATTATCATGTTCATAACGTGCTTCTTCAACATTATCTCAAAAGAAATAGGCGAAAATTCATTTTTTTAATGAGAGGAAGAGGGAAAAAAAAAAAAAAACTTGGATATAAAAATGGAAAATTAAATATTTAAACTCATCATCAATTAAAATAAAATTACATATATTCTCTAATATCATATACTCATAGGAGTCTTTGAGGTTAGAAAAAAAAGAATGAGAAAAAAATGAAAAAATTATATCTAAATCTAGGCGAAAATAAATTTACATTTTGGTACAATTTTCTCTCAACTTCTTCAATTTGTTTCCCTTTCAAAGTGGAACTATTGAGGATGTCCGTTGCTGTTATACATTATTATAATAGGCATAATGATATTTCATACAAATAATAATATGTTATTTGACATTATTATAAGAAATATAATCATATTTCATACAAATAACAATATTATACATCATTTATTTATCTTTATTTGAAAATTATTTTTTATTTTTTATTTAATAATTCTTTGCTTCTCATCATTGCTCGTATAATATTGAATTATTAGAAACATTATTAACTTTTTTTTACGATAAATTCAGCTATTGTTATGTAATTTTAAACTATTATAAATATTATCATTATGCTTAATTAATAAAACTATCAAAAATATATAAACTAAAATAAATTTATTAACCATTATTAACTTTACAATATGTAATTGCCATTATCTTTTCAACAGCATCCACAATGCAATCACTATTCACCACAGAATATAAAACCGATACAACTTCTCTCTACACAAGACTCATTTGAGATATATATATATATATATTCCTTACAAAATTATAATACACAAAAGGCTACGCTATTCGGAGGCCGCGACAAGCTTCACAAAAATTCTGAAGCCTAATGTTCAAGTTTCTAGGAACATTTCCAAGACTTTGAACTCTCTAAATTATAAACCAAAAGGAGGGAGTGCTATTTACACAGGGATGTTGATGTTGAGAAAGTGGGAAGGGAAAATGTCCATCATACTAATCGACGATTTGGTTCGGCCATAGCTGCTTCCATTTCAAGATTTCTTCCTCCTTGTAAAGCTTTCTAATTCCTGCATAAAAACCATCAGCTTCGTTTCCTACTTCCCTGTGGTCCTTCCTGTTTATTATCGTCCGTCTCCATCGAGAGCCCGGAGTGTACTGGCTGAACTCCAGTACTACCATGTCTGTTAGCAAGACTTCTTTATGTTAGCAAATTGAGCGAGTGCTACATCATGATTAATAATATTGGAGAGCTTGTAAAGTTCAAGCTTAATCACTCTAATAAAACTTGAACTTGTGCCAAATCATAAAGTAAACAAAATATGCTGGCTGCATATATGAATGGCATCAACATCAAAAGAAACCAAAATATTCAGATTCACAAATATCCCACGATCCTGTGTCCTGGGGATTCATCAAACTAGGTACACAGCAAGAGGTTCGCCGGGGTGAAGTATGTATAGCTCTTGCTTTCAGAGCAGCAATTTATTCAGTGAGCCACAGCTAACCATAAGCTAGACACAAATATGAGAACTAACCAGGTCATTGTTGAATTGGCTTCTTGAATTCACTAAGAAAAGATGCTGGATTGAGATGGATAGGTGAAGGGTCGAGCAATTGAAGTTTTTGAAGAAAGTGAGCAATTGATCATGGATCATGCACATGTTTTGTCCCTCACTTCTGAAGAAAAGTGAACATTTTAGAAGTGGCCTAACAGGTGTTGCGATTGCTTGAACTACTCGAGCTCACTTGCCCGACAGAGCTGAGTAAAGACTCAATTTCCCAAAATAACGAGAATAATAAGAAAGATTTTATTTGCAAAGCATTTTTTGTTCTTCATAACACAGGACAAAAGCAACAAAAAAAAAAAAAGTACCTAGACAGAGTAGATTAACACACTCAAGACTACTTCTGTTACTTAAAAAATGGAAAGAGTAAATTTCACTAATCTTTACTATGTCAAAGAGGTATTGAATAGAAACACAGTAATTTTGCAGTTTATGACGAGTTACTCACCGTTGTCTTGACAACGGCATCGATTCTCATTCCGATCACAAAATTCCTGATGCCCCACAACAGCATACCACCAACCTGCTCAGTTAGCAAAAGATCATTTTGATGTACATCCACAAGTAAAGTAATACAGCATTTCATGACCAATTTGAAGAAGAAATTCAGATGCAGAAACTAAAGGTAGAAATTTTTGAAGACATTTCAAAATCCCAAAAGGGGTTGAAACATGGTTCTAGCAAGATAATGTAGTTTCAACTAAAGCTAGAAACTTGATCAACTCCAAAGGCGATGAACTTTTAGGATTGAGAACACACCATAAGGGAATTCTTTGCTTCTCCTCCATTGAATCTCGATGTGATCACCGGGTTTCAAGTCACTCAAACAATCAGAAGTGTGAAGAACATTTGCAGGAGTATCAACTGGTGGTGCTCTTAGCCTCTCCCAGCGTATGCTTTGTTCTATCGTTCGCCGTGCAAAAGGAGAATACCTGCAATTAAAAATACTCTATGAGTTCATCACAGGGCCCTGCCTCACACATGAGCTGATCAAGTTAAAAGAAAAGAACAATTTCAACATAAATCACTTCTCATCAGGAACTGAAATTTTCTCAGCAAAATTAACAGCTATAATTCAATGTGTAGGAAAAAGTACGGAAAAGGTTAATATCTCCAAATGCTTAAAGTTTTTTTTTAAAAAAAAAAAAAAAAAAAAAAAAAAAACTTGTCAAAATGATTTAAGGCTCATTCAACAGATACAAAGTTTCAGATTCTGAGTTCTCTCTTTCCATACCTTGCCTTGAAGGTGTCTGTCTTGGAATCATAGCTAAGTTGTGCATCGTAACATGACAGCATAAATCCAACATGTCCATTCTGAAACAAAACATAAACAAAATCTCATTGAATTTGCCAAGAACAAAATTAATTAAGAGAGCTGTCAAAAACAACACACAAAACCACATTCATAATATCATCAATTTGAAGATGCAAAATTAAGATCGAAGATGGTTCTTTTGCAGCCCTTACCTCACGGTTATAAACCTGAGCAGGAAACCAAAATTTGCCACTTTCAAGAGAGAGATACAAAGCCATGATTGAATCAACCGGGACACAAGTTGCTGGCTTGCTTCTACTTTCACACTTAGGTTTAAACCAGGAGAAAGGCCACATACTAATAAGAGATCCTAAGAAACCCTTTTGATCGCTTTGATCTAAAAGGCTTGGCCTCTTCCTTGAAGCTATATGACATTGCCGTTCCTTGTAAGCAGCCTCACCAATTAATCTACCCCATTTTTGCTTCAAGTGTTTCTCCCATAAGTGATCACTTCTACACCTATCCCTTAAAGAGCTACAAACTCCAGCCATGCTGCACAATCCTGCAGGCGAAAGCCTTTCAAGAATGCATTCTAAGGCCAACTCAGGCAAATCCAGAAGAGAAGAAGGCTCCTCCTCCTCCAGAATCTCCGGTACTCTAGAACCAAGATTCACCTTCTTCAATGGCATTTTCATAGGAACTCGAAACAAACTAACAGCAAACCTTCCTTTATTGAACCATGACACAAGAAAAGTTGAAAACTCCTCCCAAAACCAAGGCCCCAGCAACAACACTCTCCCCTCGCCCTTCATCGGCTTGAAAGAAAATGACTTGAAAAAGAAAATAAAAGAAAAACAAGAAATCAACAAGAAAAGCATTGGATGTGGGAAAAATAGCAAATGGGGTGGTTCAAAACTTGCAGTAGTACCATAAAAAAGGGGCAAACTAATATAGGTAGGAGAAGCCAATTGCTAAGGAATTATAATATATAAGCAAAATAGAATAGGAGTAGTAACACAAAAGTAAAGTGATTTATCTTTGTTTGCACCGACCAATGGAATTAGTTTAAGAAAGAGCGGCCGTAGTTTGGTAAAATCGAGACAAATATTAAAACGAAGAAGCAAAATTTGAAGACAGCAGAACCGACAGTGCTTTGATTCTTGGCAGATATGATACCACGAAGGATGAAATAACAGCCAGCATAGGTTGCTTCTTAAATATGCTATCTTCAGAACTTTTTTGGGCATCTACATACGGTGAATTCCTAATTGCCTACACTTCTTTATCTCCCAAAAAGAAAATTACAGTCAAGTCCTACATTTTCTTGTTCTTTTTTATTTTTTTCCAACTTTTATTTACGAGAATTAGTTAATTTTTTTAATCCAATGCTATGGAACTATAATCCAAATGTGTGAATTACGAACGATGATGTTGGAAATAAAGGTTTGTTTTTTTTTAATCTATATTTAACAGTAAAAAAAAATCAGTTTGTGTGTCCATAAAATCTAAAAAAAAGATGCATTCTTAATACACTGAATTAATACATTAAAAAATAAATAAGCTTAACACCTTAAAGATCGATGAAATAAATGTACTTAGGTGTGTCCGAAGCATCCTAAATTTCCATCTGTCAGAGAGAACAAAACTGTGCATATAATGGGAGACAGTTGGCAGTTAAAGAGTGGATGATTTAGAAAGGGAAAAAAGGAGGGAACAAAATCTAAAGCAGGTTCATGGGCTTAGTTGTGAATATGTCAGATAGACAGAGTCCCACATGTCAATAATCTAAAAATTTGAGGACAGCAAGCAAGAATAATGCATGTAAATTGACCAAATCGTTAGGTGAGAAGGTGGATTCCAAGGCTTGCTTATCCAACAACTCGTGCATGAAAAATCAGAAAAAGAAGGAAACATCAAGCAAAAGTAGAAAAAACTCCATAATTGATGAAGATGAGGATGAACTTGAAGTGGGTCCTTTTTAGTTCAATCAAACTTTTATCCCAACAGGAAAGAGAATAAAAATAAAATTCCGAAACTTTTGTTGTCACCAATTTGAAAGAAGTCGTAAGAAAAAAGGAATTTTTTGAATAGAACAGTTTTAAATATGAACGATTCATAAGTAAGTCAAGTTGTTCTTTTAATCTGGATCCTTTTACCATTAGAAAACAAGAAAAAAGGGAGAATTAAACAGGGTTATTTTACTTTTGGTGGGGGTGAGAACTGAGAAATACAGTGTGTATGATTTGTCATTGTACAATAAAAGCTCCCATGAACGTTCGGCCTAACTCCCACCAAACTCACAACAGCCACCACACCAGATCACACAGACCACGTAAATTACCGTGACGAGATTCAAGAAATCGTGTCCGAATTAAAGAATAAGAAAGTGACGGTTTATATATATATATACACAGACACTTAGTTGAGGTCAAAAATGGGACACACAATTGGTCGTCGGAAAAGAGATGGGGACACAGTTCCCACATCTGTCTTGTTTACCATTTATGATGGTTCCAATGAAGATCGACACTTTTCTCTTCTCTTTCTAGGTTTTGTGGCTATTATTGGCCTATAACTCTACTACTTACTTTGATTGTTATTTATCCTCCTTTTCACGTTATATCCCAGCAAGTTGCAAGATGTGGTTTTGATTATTTTTGTTAGAAGTGAATTATAAAGTAATCCTCTAATTTTACAAATAAACAAGATAAATTGAAAAGAAATCAAATGATTAAGGGGTAAAAAGATTTAAAAATACATAGATTAATGAATTAGTTATTGAAACTAAAAAAATAACTAATTAAATAGATTTAAAAATTAGAAAGATTAATTTATAATTTAATCTTTTATCCTTTGTTATAAAGTGCAGGACTATTATATTCTATGTTGTCGTTGTTGTTCCCGATGTGGTTATGAAAAATTTGAAACTTTTTATATAAAATCCATTAAATTATAGATTTGAAATGCAATTCAGAATTGATGTATATTTTTAGTTTTTTTTTTTTAATTCTACGATAATAATATTTTTATATCAATTTGTATATTAATGGAGATTATGTTATATATAATTTATATAGCTAATGGAGCTAACTCAACAAAACAAAAATGCATTGCCCTTTAACTTGAATGAGGTGGTTAAGGTGGAGAAGAGAGATTCTCGTAACAATTTTTCAAGTGAGCTCTGACGATTTTGGTGATCTTCCATTATTGGTTGCTGAGACAACCTTGGATATTTTGTTTCAAGACACTGACCATTAGGTTGCATGAATTAATACGAAAGATTCTGCACCACAGATAGATATGCCCTATATATATATGCCTCTAATTGAGATTGATTCCTCACTTATTTCACAATGATCGATGCTTCGAAAGAGAATCATCTTAATTAGGTACCTAATCCATGAATAAGTGTATTAATTTTGAACCATTTTTCTTGAAGAACGATGGATTTGGATATATATATATGTATAGATAAGATTGCATGAATTAAGGGATAGTGGGGGATCTTTAATGGAATATTGGTCAATGACAAGAATCATTTTGATTTTGATGCTCCAAATCTTTGATTCACTAGTAAACCACGAACTCAAGTAGACCACCATCCAGTATAAGAAATCCAACATTATAAGGTTTAGAATTAGTGTGATGTCAACGTTACTCAATGGAATCCACAAAGAAGGATAAAGAAATGCCAAAAAAAAAAAATTGAGGGAGGGAGGGAGGGGGGCTAAAAAATGGTTCCTTCTGAAGACAGTTAAGTGGAGCTTTACCATCAATCAATAATGGATGCATCTATAATGCAAGCAAATGAGGGTTGGCTTTTAGGATCATGTGGGGGCTTAAACTTTCTAGCTAGCTTGTTATTGTTAATCAATATTTTTTTTTTCAATGAGATTCCCATGTACGTATGTGCATATTGGGAGCATGGTTTTGATACTTTTCATTATTTTATGATCTCCACTCTCCAAAATCTTCAGTTTCCCTAATCTTCTTTAATCTATATCTGTTAGATATAGTATAATAGTAGTGTGTGTGTATTATTACGATTCAAATCCCATAATTGTATCCAAAGAAAGAATTTCTTCATTGAAGACATGAATCACAGCTTAAGATTAATTAGTGAAAGAACAGTATTGAAAACATACGTACTTACTTAGACAAATTTTATGTCCCATTCGATTATTGTATACTTGTAGAACCTCTTGAATATGTCCCACTCCACTCGTTTTTCACATGCTATAGACTTTTATTAGTTTATGAGAAGGGCTGTGATGGTTGAGAACCCAACTTTTGCTTAATGTCATGATAGGTTGATAGACAGACATGCTTGAGACTCTTCTTATTGGCATCGATCCTCTTCACAAATGATCACATGAATGATATATCGATGTAAACTATAGCTAGCTAGACATGCAGAAAGAGTTTATCGTACGTGAAATCTAGTTTTGGTGTTTTTTTTTTTTTAAGCTTTTCTAATGTTATTTTCTTTAAAAAATAATTTTATCTAGACTTGCGAAATCTAACTCCAAAACCATATTCTTAATAATAAAATCAAAGAAAAAATTACCACTTTGTTTACCATATTATCTGTCTCCCACAATACTAGTTAAGTTGACCACTAATTAAAAAGGTTTGAGACTCTGTGTAACATATATTATTATTCTGCTTTATCTATAGGGGACATTTTTGAAGTACCATTATGCTTAATTAATGATCATTATCATAGCTCAAAATGATAGTACAATGGAAGCGATTTCTTTCTTTCTTTCTTTACCACATCTCTGTACTATAAATTCATACAATTATGCATAGCCTGTCCCCCACTTAAATTATTCACCCAAGCACTATAAGTGACTTTATGCTAAAAGTTGCTTAAGTAAGCAAAAACATTTCAAGAGCCCTTTTCTTTCTTCCAACACCAAAATGAATTGAACGTAACGTGAAGAAAGTTGCTCTTGCCTATCTGGTTATCCATTTTTTGTTCACTTACACTTCCTCCACTGCCAATCAACATTTTTGAAAATATATTACCTTAGCAGACTAAAACTGTAATATTAGAGTTCAATGAGAGGGCATGGTGCTTGTTAGCCCTAGAAGGTTTTCATGGCACCCAATTCCAACTCATATCACGTGCCCAAATATAGTGTCTGTCTTGTCTTTAGTTCTTTAGGGTTGAGAATGTGGGATGTAGCTAGGTTACGATGCTCCTAAAGGTGGCAATAGTAGCATCCTTGTCTAGCCCAAAAAAGTGATGAGATAATATCTTCCAAATCTTTGGTGCTCTCTTAAGCATTATGCTTCAACAACTACCTCGACTCCATTCTCGATCAAAAGTGAAAGTACCATAGAAATCCACCATTATTGGAGCAGAGTATGTGATGTAACGGTTTCAACTTTGAAGATAATACTTTAGGGTCCACCGAAGAAAAGAAAACCAACAAAATAAATGGCTCAGAGGAGATGGGGGGCTTTATCTTTTTGTGCTTGTATGGTAGGGGACTAGAATAGAACCAATGAGATCAGATGGGGTGGTTCTGCTTTTCGGATCAAAGTTGGCAACAAATGTGGTTTAGGCTGGCGAATGAATTGGTGGGGTGCTGCACCTCCCCAACCCCATGACTTGTTAGTGCCAATCCCACCTAAACCCCACTTGTTAATCTACAGAAGAAAGGTCCATCCCTTACGTAAGATAAAACTAGAATATATAGTGTCTTGTGTGGCTGCTGCTGCTGCTGCTGAGATTATAAAATCTGTTTTAATTAATTTTGAAAGTCTAGATAAACGAAATTTTGTGATTTGATTTGTATTTAATATCATATGTATTCTTATTTTTTTGTTTAAACATATTTTATTAATATGTTTGATTTTGATAAATGAAAAAAAGAAGTAAACATGTAATCTGTTACGTAATCAATCTCATATTGAATAAATAAGCAATATTTAAGTAATATATAAAGTTGAAAAAGAATTATTCACCATAAAACCTAGATTTTTTAAAAGGAAGTCAATCTTAACTATCTCATACTAAAAAATCTAATTAAAAGAATAAATAATTAAAACAAGCTCTAAATCTTAATAGGTTTCGATTTCAAACTCGTTTGATTATTATGACTCGACTTTAGTGAGTTTATCAAGAATACATAGAAAGTTGATGCTCCCATTCCAATAGCCAATGAAGACTTTATTACTCCAATAAAAAATTGGAACAATGATAACTTTGGCAATACATTCAAAATCAAAAGGAGACTCGTTGGCTCATTTATTCAAGTATAGAGAGAGTATTATCTATAAGTTCTAACCCTTTCCTTACTCAAATAGATAGCATTTTAAAAAAGGAATACAAAGATATTCTCTTAAAGGAAAAACTCTACTCGGTTTAAAAAATCTCGATATGAATGGCTAGCTTATGGTGATAGAAACACAAAATATTACCATGCAATGGTAGTAGTTAAAAAATGCATAAAAAAAGTAAGGAGATTATTGGATAAAGATAAAAATTAGTGTAAAAAGGATCATGAATTAAGTGCTTTGATTCTTCCGTACTATAAAAATTTGTTCATAAAGGTGGGGGCTACAAACATTGATTCCCTTATTTATGGGCTCTTCCCATGGCTACCTTATGCCTTTTTATAGCCACTCAACTCATTTGTGCTCAATGAAGAAGTCAAAATGGCTTTATTTGACGTGAAGCCTTATAAAGCTCCGAGTTTAATGGTTTACATACAACTTTCTACTAGACTCAATGGTCGACAGGTGGTAAATTATTATGCCAATTCATTCAACAAATTTTCCAACATGAAATTTGGAAACCTACTATTACAAAAGCTATGCTAGTCCTAATTTCGAAAGTAGAGGAGATAATTCCTCAATTTCATCCTATTAACTTATATTATGTTGCCTATAAGGTGCTTATAAAGGTTATTATAAATCGGTTGAAACCTATCCTATCTTCTATCATTATGCCTACTCAAGTCGGTTATATCCTCCCTAGTAGAAAAATAACCGACGATGTCATTATTACTTAAGAAATCATTCACTCCATGCGTAATTAAAAAAAAAAGTTAAAAAAGGTTAGATGGCTATCAAAATAGACCTAAAGAAAGCATATGACTGACTTCAATGGGATTTTGTACTAGACACCTTGATAAATGTAAGGATACCTCATCAATTATGTTCAACTCTTATGAAGTGTCTCTCTTCCGCCTCCCTTCATATTGCTTTTAATAGTGTGACTACAAGCTCATTCAACCCTTCAAGAGGTATTTAGTAAGGTGCTCTTTCACCCTACCTTTACGTATTATGTATGGAGTAGCTTAGTCGGTTAATCCCGACGAAGTGCATAATGGTAATTGAAAGCCAATTTTCCCGAGCAAAGATGAACCACCTATTTCTCATCTTTTCTTTGTCGATGATCAATCCTATATGCTCGAAGCCAACACTTAACAACTATCAATTATTATGGATGTTCTTCATAAATTATGTTCCGTCTCTAGTAAGAAAATTAATGTAGCTAAGATAAAAATGTTTTACAATACTAATATTCCGAATGAGAGAGCTAGGATCCTCGATTATTTTTCTAGCTTTCGCTTCGCTTAACTAAGGATTTGGTTCATTATTTAGATGTCCCTCTTCATCATAGATAGGTAAATATGTCCACTTATGAACATAGGGTTGATAAGGTTAATTGGAGATTATCTAGATGGCAAGTCATGACATCTCTCTATCTCTCTCTCTCTCTCTTGTGGGTAGAGTAACCTTGATCAAATCGGTATTATCGACCATTTCTATTTACAAGCATACGTACTATTAGGTTACCTATCGCTACTATTAATGCCATTAAGAAAGTATGTCATCATTATGTGTGGGGCAACTTTGATATTTATATAAAAAAAAACAGACCACCTTATTTCATGGGATAGGGTCTACCGACCAAAGAAGGAGGGAGGCCTTGGTTTGAGAAAGCTAGCGGACATGAATACCGCCGTCTTTAAAAAGATTGGGTGGGAAATTATCTCAAGGAACTCATCTCTTTAGGTACAAATTTTATGCAGCAAGTATAAAATCTCTATTCAATTGACACTAACATCCATCCCCGGCAATGGTTCTTCTAACCTATGGAGTCTCTTATGGGTATGATAGCAAATCTGTGGCAATATTGTATGGTCAATTAAAGATGGCGGACATATCGGGTTTTGGGTTGATGCTTGGGTGCCTAACTTAGGTACTTTATGTGTTCATGCATTACATAGCATCCCTACTTATAACAATATGTTAAGGACTATATCTCTATTGATGAGCATGATGTGGGATGGGATCACGTTATTCCTACCTAATGCTATTTGTTTGAGAATTGTAAGAATGCTTCTTTATTTGTATAGTGACACAATGACATGCCATGTTGGACTCGCACAAGCAATGGTATGTTCTCCACCAAATCAGCTTATATGCCTATCATTTCTTCGACCATAACAAGTTCAATGGGGAAATGGGACTTAATTTGGCAAGGAAGGGGTCTTTAAAGGATTCGATCATTTTTGTGGTTGGCAATACATAAAAGGGTGTTGACCAATGAATAGAGATTCAATAGGGGGCTTTCATCTTATGCATCTTGCCTCCGGTGTCATGCTCGAATCTAAACTATTCTAAATGTTCTTAATGACTAGTTGTTGGATAGATCCATTTGGAGTTATTATGGTGCACCACAAGTTAACTTAACTTTTTTATCTTGAATCTTTAGGATTGTTTCGGTCCGATCTTTAGTGCACTCAAACACCAACATTTGAAGTCGTATCCTAGAGCATATGGTTTGGGAATTTTTGTTGGTCGTTGTGGTCCCGGCGTAACAAAAATCTTTTTGAGGAAGTTTTATGTATTCTAGCCATCCTTTACATGTGATTTTCTCCTACACTAGCCGAATTGCATCTAGTATGGAGATGGTATCCCCATTTAAAAAGGTCGAAAGATATGAAGCATGAAACTCTTATAGGTTGGCTCAAACCACCACTTGGTTGGATCAAACTCAACACCGATGGGGCCCTACGCTATTCAATTAGCATTTCTACAGCATGAGGCATCATTCGTGATGGTGCATGTATTTGGCTTCTTGGTTTCTTCTATCACATAGGTTTTTGTTATGTGTACCGAGGTATAAGACATCCTTATTGGTTTAGAGTTCACATGGAATTTGGATTTCGGACAAGTTCCGTTAGAAACCGACTTCATGGTGGCAATCTAGTTGTTAAATTCAAGTGATTATAGCCGAGGGGTTCATAGTCGGCTTATTTTCAATATTCACAAAATTCTCCAAAGACCATGGATGGTTCATGCTTTTTATGCCTATAAAGAGGCTAATCGTACAAGGGATTGCCTTGTTTTTCATGCCTACTCCCTTTCATTGGGAATTTTATATTTTTAAATTGCTTCTTTTGGTTGTATTAGCCTTCTCTTATAAAATATTCGTGAAGTTGTAATTCTAAAAAAGTGTAACATAAACTAGTATGTTTAAAACTAACCTCTCCTTTAAATAATAATAATAAAATCTCAAATTGATGCCTTTTAAGACCTTGATAAACAATTTCCAACAATACTTAAAAATAATGCAATTGAGTACAGATAAATAGTGAAACACCATCCTGCTTCATTTTTTTTTTTAATTGTTAATTGATTGGTTTAAGTAAAAAGTGTTTTAAGTTTCTTAGTGGCTAACCCAACTTCAAAAAACTCAAAACAAAAAGGGAAAATTTTTGTCAGAAATTGGGCAAAGGTGCGACACAAAATAGATTTTGATACACATCTGATAGAAATTGGAGTGTCATTCAGGTTCCTCGTTTCCTTCCCGTCATTTCTATCGTCACAACAGTATCCGTCATAGCTTGACCATATAGATATGGAGTTGGACAACGATAATATATACTCAGTTCAGCCAGGCCACAATTCTAAAATAACTAGAATCTATCTGTTTCTTTCACTGCGTCTACATCTACATCTACATCAAAATCGATTTTTCTGTCTAGTTTGAGAGCATCAAACTTGTGATTGTTTGTGACCTAAAATTCATCCACTAACATTCATTATTCCTTTCTTCGGTCCTGTCTACTTCAGGCTTGTCAGCATTTACACATGGAAGTATTTTTAAATTTCTGCTTAGTCATCCAAGAATGAAGCCTATACATGCTTTTCGTTTTGGAGCACCTTTGAATTTTTTACTGTAACCATGTCCAATCTTTGGATCAACTGTTCAAGAGGTAGAAGGATCTTATCGACCTCTGTAAGGTCATAGGTCCAAATCCCCATTTCCCCTTATCTCACATTGAAATCAACTTCCAAGGCTATCGCTAGGACCGAACAGAGAAAGCTATCAAAGCCAAGCGAAGCGAAATCTGTCCCACTGTTTTGGGCAGCATTCCAAGCCAAATCTTTCACCAAATGGCCATCACAGTAGATCAGATACTTGTGGCTTAAACTAGCCCATGGTACTCGAGACAGTCGCAATATACGGTATACTCATGCAAAATTTGCGACAAAGACAAACACTTCAGCCCAACTAGGATCAAAAGATGAAAAATATCTCAAGTGGAGACCATTCTTTAGGCAAAATGCGAGATGTCCAAGGGCAAACATGGCAAGCGCATATAGTTACAGGAATCATGATTCTTGTACAAAAGTGCAATAAAATATCAGAAAAAGGCGTTTGGTAGGATCTTAAACAGACGCTCAAAGACCCAATCCAACAGTGCGGCCATCTCTTCTTCGAAGCCCAGCAGTATACTGTTTCTCTAGATCCATCTGGAGTTCCTTCTGTTTCTCTGCATCTTGACTGTCGGGTTTGGGTTCCACCTTCACGTCCCCTTTTACACCCTACAATTGGCCATAGGCACCAAGGCAAACTCAGACTCTAAAACTGTGTTAGTAGCTGAACTAATTGAGAACGCAGTCATGCACAAATAAGAAAGGATCTTTGTTTTATAAAGCATTCCTAACTAACCTGACAGCAGAATCAGTATAGAACAACTAGAAAAAACTATGAAAGACAATGAAAATTACCATGAGTTTATTGAATTTTTCTTTTCTTTCAGGATCACCAAACATAGCAGTATCCCACCGGCGACCAGTCTGTAAAAAGTGAGGGGATTCAACAGGCATGTAGAAAGAAGAAACCACAACAGGGAGACTAAAGGAGATACCTCTTCTGGAGCAGCACTCTTTTTACTCCCCCAAAGCAGCTTTTTCTTTTGCTCAGTAGACATAAAACCCCCTCCAACTAGGTTTTTATTAACTGTGTTAAGGATCAAAAAAGAAATTTCAATTTAAAAACAAGTTCACGGAGATAAGAGACTGTCAGTGCATCATTTAACATGAATAACATCTATAGCACCCTTGCACATCAACTGGAAATAGATCCATGCATATGTTTCACAAAGCAATAAAACATATCATTCCTCTCAAATAGAGTAAATCATATATTAGTCCTGTTGGTTTTGACAAATAAATTAATTACCCCCCATTTCAAAAACTAATTATTTACTCCTTTTTGTCTATTTTATATTCTTTTCCTTCCCTTTTTTAAAAAATAGATATTATGAAAAAAATGATGAGAAAATAAAACATTTTTTGAAATAAAGCAAAATTAAATTAAGCATGATCAACTCCAGTCAAAAGACTAAATAATTAGTTTTTGAAACAAAAAAAAAACTAATTAATTTGTTTCTCGAACTAAAAGGACTAATTTATAATTTACTCTCAAATGTAACCATGCAAAAATTTGAAACTAAATGTCGCTAACCAAACATTCATTCATTCAGCTCTATCCTACTGGCCTGCTTGGCATAAGTGAAGATGGTGCAAGTGAAGGGTGACTGATGGTTTTTTTATCTAAAATTATCAAGAAAAAATGAAGTAAGATCTAAAGTGGGATTATAACAAATTAAGGGGACCAATTGCCCCCCTTCCCTAAGACATAGCTTCGCCCCTGGGTGAGAGCATAATGGAGAAGTATAAAAGGGCATGATTCTCAAGAAACAAGGGAACGAAAGACCGTAAGAGAAATAAAAAGACAAAAAAAAAAAGTGTCTAAAAAGGTGCTACAAAATGAATACAGTAGCAGTATGGACGTAAGGAGTTACAATTACTCGTCCTAAAGAACACTCAGATGCAGATGAAGGAGACTTTCCTTCTCAAAAATGACACTAGTTCTACAAAAAGGCACCAAGGAAATGCCACTCATTTAATGGGGCTAAAAAACTGCAATCAAGAAAAGAATCAACATAATCCAAAACATTCTCGTTAAAAAAAAAAAAAATCCTTCTTTGTAAGCTGGAAATGTAAAATGCTAAATCAATTATCCTGGAGAGAAGCCTTTTCCTTTTGATACCATAAATCCAATAGTTGTGTTCTTTCTGCAACCACCAAAATATACCTAAATGGACGCTAACCTATTGCTCCACTTTGCATTTACAAAAACATTCAACTCCATTTCCATTTAACCCTGCCACAAACTAATCAACACCAGTCACCATGTACCATTTCTTAAAAAGATGCATCCAGGCCCCAGACATGAATATCTTGTAAAAAATAAGTTGCTACTCCCTTGGACTCACATAGGAACATGAGACTACAAGGCATACCCCTCCTGAAAGCATACACTCTATACATGAATGTTACGTACTATAAGGACTGAGGCACTTAACAAATTCTCTTATCTCACATCAGGGGGCAAAACAACTAAGTAATGCATGCAATATAAAGAGAACCCTTCAGAATCAGGGTACAATCATAAAATATAAAAAAGTGATTGCGTATATGTGTAGAAGTATTGCATACCTAATTCAGCAGCTTTCATAGCAGCAACCTTTGCAGCATCTAAGTCATTAGCTGCCTCTAAATTATTGGCATCTGTTTGTCCTACATTGCCCTTATTTTCTACCTCCTGGGCCAGCAATGAACTTGAAGACTTCTTTTCATTAACTACGGTTGTAGTTAACTTCATAATTATTAGAGCTCAACTTGTAAAACCAGCATGCAAACAAGGTAAATGAAAACCATAAGACAAGGCAAAATGGTTACCTTCTCTGCTGTTATCCGAGTCCTTTTTAGAGCTAAACAATTTTGACTTTTTGGCAGGAGATTCTTGATTTTCACTCCCAAAAACAGATTTATCATCGTTCTTCTCCCCTGGAACTTTACTGTACCGATCCTTCTCCCTGCTACTTTCCCAGTTATCATGTTTCTTTTCCTTCTGACAATTCAATTCCTTGGGGTCATTCTTAAAAGATTCTCTAAGGCGTTGTCTGCCATCCCTTCCAGAAGAGTCAGTTTGATGCCCCCTGGTTTCCTCATAGTAGGATGAACGATCACTTTTATGATCTCCAGAACTCCTATGATAATCTCTTCTCTCGTCACGACCATCTCTGTCCCGCCTGTGTTGATCTCTATCCTTCTCTTCAGAGGCTGTGCTCATATATTTCCTACTAGATCCAACTCTGTCTGGTGAAAACTCCTTATCTTTCAACTGCCGATGCTCTGATGATCCTCTCTCTTTGTCCCTACTTCTGTTCCCCAAACTATCATATCTATCACCAGAATATTTCTCCACATTTCTTGCATGGTCTCTTGACCTACCACGCTCTCCATCTTTCAACTCCCAACCAGAACGAGAAGAAGCCTGATAATGTCTCTCTCCATCATCAACTCGCCTGTCATGTCTATAGTCATCATTCCTAGAATAACCATGAGAACTCCTGGTAGAATGCCGATCAGAATGTCTATACGAATCTCCATTCTTCTGATACCGACTCCTCCTAGAATCCCTTTCCAGTTCTTTCTCTTCATCCTTCCTTCTCTGTGAAGCTTTTGCAGAATCATCCCTGTGAACTACTGGACTACCCCCTATAAATAACGCAACCAAGCAAAACCAATTAACCCTCACTATAATGCTGTAAAGCAACAACAAATGCCTAGCAGCAACAAAATTCTAACGAAATATACCAAACTTTAATCAAGCTAAAAACCACAACAAACCCAGAAATCCGAAACCAAAATTTAACAAACTAACCATCCGACGAAGGTGATCCATTCAAAGGAGAATGGCGTCGGTATTTCCTGTTAGCCATATCATTGGAAGGCTTACGAAATGTTGCTTTCGTCTCAATATTCTCCAACTGCGGAGACTGAATGCCGGTATCCATCAAGCCTCCTAAACAACAAAATTATATAGCAAAAAAACCACAAAATTACGATTTAACTATTCCATCACTAAATTTAACAAAAAGAAAGCAAAAATTGAAAACGAATCTAGGGTTAAAAAACGACTTAAGTTTCACCGAGTTAATGCAAAACTAAACGAGCCGAAAAGAAGAGAGTGGAACAACGAACCTGTATAGATTTGGTTAGGGTTTAATTGATCATTCAACCGTATTTTTGTTTTCTCTCTTCTATCTAGTCTATGTCGGTCTAGGGTTCCCTTTTTTCTATCTGCGTCGTGATTTTTGTTCGTTCGTGTGGGGTGAAGTCTCGGGATTTCTCTCTTTCTTTTAAGAAGATATTTATGTCTGGAAAGACAGAAGTGGGGCATTCTGAGGCATTTACGTGTTGCATCCTTATTTGATGATCAAAGATAGTTTTTCTTTTTTTGTTAAATCCATGAAAGATCGGTGGCGCACCAATTTTTTTGTCCACGTACACAGGGTTGGAAAGGCATACGTCAAAAATCATTAAATTTTATTTTGTTCGATTAATTATATGCTAATATGAAATAGAGATGCCTAGTAAAACAAACAAATAAATAAATAAAATAAATCAATGAGAGATAGTCCTCACTCTTTACATAATTACCAAGATATATTTTATATTGGTTTTTTTTTTTTTAAGATTATTGTGTTTCATTATGCAATGAGAGTAATTTCTAATTTTTATTGTTTTATAATTCATATTAACTATCTAGATAGATAGGTTTCGTAAACTTAAATCTCCAAATTACGATTATTCTAAATATCCAAAGAGTTCAAATCTAAATTATAGTATATATTATGAATGCTAAAATTATAATTATCATATTCTAAATTTAAATATTGAAAGAGTTGTCGACGTCGGTCCTACAAGGGGATAGACAAGAAGTCTTCACCTAACTAATAAAAGAGAACTAGAAAATCCTAAATGTATTGATCTGCATAGATATCCGGGTAAGGTCTTGGTTATGTATAGAAAAGATATAACATCATCGTCATCTCATCCTACCTAAGATAGAGCTGCATTGTTTGCATGTGAATATAAAAATCTAATTGTTAATATGTTATGCTTCTATGCCTATTTAAAGGATTTTATTTTAATAAAATGTAAAAATAGAATAATTCAAGTGTTTGGGTGTAAAACAAAGTAGTTTGGGGATTCGGACACGTCTAAGATCAATACCCTCTACTCAAAGGAGAAAGGTGAGGGAAGTTAGAATTTCGACTTGTCTTTAGTGAACATGATCTATTATTGATAAATATGTGAGTTTCGAAGATGAATAGCTTTTTATTAGTATGAGTAACGAGTCATCGACGACTTCACTTACATAAGTGGAAAACCACCAACGACTTCGAGTCATGAATTTAGGAAGCTACCGATAACTTTGTTACACAAGTGGAAAGTTATAAGCAATTTCATTTTTGCTCAAGCAAAGAGCACATAACTAATTCGAAGCCACCGATAACTTCATCATATAAGTAAGAAGTCATTGTCGGCTTTGCTTCGGACAAGCGAGAAAAACAAATAAAACAAGCTCGAAATCATCGGTGGTTTTGTCACATAAGAGAAAAGCTACCAACATCTTCGTTTCAAGAAAACGAGAAAATAGATGAGATTGGTTCGAGAGCTACTAATGACTTCATCATATGAATGAGAAGTCACCAACAACTTTATTTTAATAAAACCAAAAACTAATAAAATTGTTCCGAAACCACTAACGGCTTCATTATATGAGTGGAAAGTCATCGACGGCTTCATTTTGAAAAAATAAAAAATAGATAAAATTGTTCTAAAACCATTAACGGCTTCATTTTTGTATTACAATCAAGCATGATAGGTCAATCAAACCATAAAACAAGCAAAAATTTTGCATTTAAGTATACAAGTGTAAAATAGGAAAACAGGGTAGTTTATCCTTAATAGAATATTCGCTTCAACCATATTTGAATCGATAAGTATTTAAACAAAATGAGACGAGTTTCATTCATATTTTTTAAATAGTCCAATCATTTTTATTCCCATTTTTAAAGAATGCGAGAGGTTTCGCAGTTTTTATCCAAAATTTCTTATAGTTCAAATGTCTAATTCGAATTCGGCTTTACTCTTTTCTTCCTCGATGACAATTGATTATTCAATTAACCGAGAAAGGAGAGCCATTGCTTGTTATCAAAATGTTGTATGAGTCCCACTAGAGCGACCAAAAGCCTCTTTAAAGTCTATGCAAGTGGTCAAGGTTAGTGTTGCTACCAAAGTTATTATAAATTTGCAAAATCCTCGTAACTAGGAAGACTTAACAACAAGGTTGTCGTTATATTTTTTCTATAAAAAATCAATATAAATACAATCTATAATATCATGTTGTTCTCGCCAAATATAACTCAACATCAATTTTTTTTCTTTTTTTAGTAACTAATAAGGGATAGAACTGCAGGTAATAGCTAAGCCTTAGCCGGCTCGTTGGTGTTAGCGGTGGTTATGTGGGCGTGCAACCGAAGTTGTTATCTAGGTGTGGGCATGCAAGAGACTACCGTGTAAGGATGTAAGGGACTTGTGCATTATTGTTGGCATGGGCTTATAAAGGAGGCGCATGGGCCGCTGCTGGTAGGCATGAGGTGCAATTATGTGGGCATGGCATGAGTGAGGTCACGGGCTTCATTGCGCGGACGTGAGGTGTAATTACATATGAGGAAGGCCGCCCGTTGGTCGGCAGTGCGTATGGGGTCGTGTCGCACGAGAGCCGTGAGTAGGAAGGCTACTACGCGTTAAGCATGCATGTTAGATCTACGTACGAGACTTGAACACCGTGTTGCAAGCCGAGCATTCAACTATGGTAAGGAAGCTCGCTATGAGGTGTGTAACCGAGCCCACGAGGGCGACAATAGAGGGGCCGCAAGTGTTGTGAATTGCTTGGGGAAATGGTTGGAGCAAAAGAGAGTCTGCAGGCATGATGAGGTCATGTAGGAGTTGTATGCATGAGCTATGGGGGTGGAGTTGTTATGCGATAAGGATCGGCATGCAAAGGAGCTAGCTTATAGGTGGCTACAATGGTTGTCTTAGCTTATAAGGGAGGCCGATATGAAAAGGAGCTTCGAGTGAGGGAAAGAGAAAGGAGGAGTGTTAGTTGTGTGTTTAAGAGTGGTAATGAATAGTTGAAAGTATGAAAAAATGCAAGGCTTTTTTAGGTATTTTCTAGGTTTTTTTGGCAAAAATCCGATTTGGTCATTGATTCTTCATAATCGATCAATTTAAGTTTGATTTTGTTTTTTTTATTATTTTGATAAGGCCTTTAAATTTCAATTAATTGGGGCTTTTCTTTTTTATTTGTTTCAATTGTATCCTTGAATTTAAATAAGAAATTAAAGTCTTTAATTTGAATTTTTTTTAATTAAGCCCTCAATGGTTTTTTTATTTCCAAACTTTTTTTTAATTAGTCCCCTTTCCTAGAATTAATCTAAACTAATTGTTTTTTTATTTTATTTTTTCTATAATAATAAAAAATAATAAAAATAAAATAGGAGCAAAAACTAGGTGTTAATAAGAATATCCAAACTTTAGTTATATGATGGTCGTAAAAGTATATTGAGAAATATTAACAAACAAAACTAAAAAAATAAGGATTCTAACCGTTCAATTACTCGTTCATTTCGACTCAATTATACTCGTGGATGTACTCGTGAGTGCCTTTCCTTCTTTCTTGATCGTCTATTCGTCTTAGTCTCTTTCTATTCCTTTGATTTGTAGCCTTTATTTTCTCATTTCTCTTCTCTCGTTGCCCTCCTCTTCTTTCCTTATAATTAGTACTCGTTTGGGTTTCTTTCCATGAATGTTGGTTGTTCGATTAGACGTCTAAGTGGCATGATTCTTTCCTTCTTTTTTCGGATATGTTTTTAAATTTTATTTCTCATTCCTTTTCCTTTTAGCTACAAACATGTGAGTTTTTAACTATTTTGTGTTTTCCTATCCTTTTCATCATGGGATGCTCTTGTCTCATTTTTTTCCTATTTTTTTGTTCATCACTCGCTCGTCCTTTTTTAAAATTCTATCAAAAGTTGAAGTTGAGAAGCGGTTTTGACCACAAGAAAAAGGCTTTTTGGCCATTTAGAGCTAGTGGTGTAGGTCTGTCGATGTCGTTATGTGGTTGACGAAAGGAAGGGGTGTTGGCAATGAGTTTTGATGGTTGGGGTTTGGTATTGAGGAGGGTAATAAGGCTATTGATGATGCTTTTATATGGCTTGGGTTTTGGTATGAAAGAGGATAGCGGATGTTTTTGCTAATGAATTTAGATGGTTGAAGTTTAGTGTGGGAAAATTGAGTGCAACTAGAGTTTTTTTTTGTTTTTTTTTTTTTTTTTTGCCCGGAGAGGTTTTTATGAGATAGGTAAGTGGTCGTCACTATAGTCGAAATGGAGAAAAGAAGCCTTTATTTTTTATAGGTCCAACTATGGTTCTTGTTTAATGTAAGTAGGTAGATGAGATGAAATCAAACCTTTTCTAAATTGGATCATTACCCCCTACTTTGTCTTCTTTTTTTTTTTTTTTTAGTTTGTGTTCTAATAAGTTATCATTATATGTTTTTCGAGTCAACTATTTTCCATCAAGCTATCATCCGATTGTTTATAATGAAAGACGTGAGAAAGTCAATTTCTTTCTTTATTCTTTTCAAGTCTATTGTTATAAAAATGAAATTGCCTTATGCTTGAATCGGTGTTTATGTATGTGAGTGTTAGGAGTTCGGTTACATTTTCTACAGATTGGAAAGCTATTGTATGATTTTAGAGCTATTAGTTAAATGAATGGTCTATTGCCATGAATCGATATATGTTTCATAGCATATAATTTATTAGTTTTTACTAGTTAATGTAGTGCATCATTACGAAAGAGAACTACTTCAAGCAACTTGGAGAGAGATACGGATCCTAGACACCGGACGGTGTAAACTTTGATTCCGTTGTTACTTTTCAATAATTAAATAAACTATCACACTAGTCTTTCATGTGCTTTCTTAATATTTTACTCCTTTTTTTTTTCTCTAGACAAGATCAAGTTGTTTGTCAACGGGTTGATGTCTTATCCGAACCACATCTCACATATGAGGTTCACGAGCATTTGGATCACATATTGGTCTCAAGTAGAACTTCCTTTACAATTGCATCATATCATGTTCATATTGGATCTCATAGAAATGTTTTGGTTGTAAATTCAATACTAGCAATGATGAGATGTTTCTTATAACTTAAAATTTATTTTTGATTGAAGGATTTCTTTGTTAATTCATGATATCTCAACAATCTCAATAGAAAAAAAGCTTCAACTTCTTAAAAGCAAATAAGTTTTGTTTTAACTTTTTAATCGGTGAGTTCATTCCAACAATTTGCGGTGGCTTAGAAATTTTTGAATCCACATACAAGAAACTCTGGTCTATGTTATCTATGTCTATTTGCTTAAGGCTTTAAAGATGAACTTGACACTAAAGTTTATCAGGTTTGATGACCATCTACTTTAATTCTACCTTCTTTCCAATTCTAATAATTTTAGGTTATGGATAGTTTGCCAAGCCCCCTTTCCTAATGAAAACTGCATGGATAATGCATAGGTTATGATCCGGCTCTAGAAGGTGTTAAGAGATGGGCATTTTTGGATTGCTTCTGGCGTTGCTTTCTTAATTTTTGTATTAGTTACTGATTGAACTATTTTACCTTTAAATTTTTGTAGGATGTTGCTGCTAAGGTGGCAAAACATTCAGCAATTGCATATGAAGAAAGATCTTTGAATGTATGTTAACTCACACTTCATCGGTATTGCTAATTCCATTTTTCATAATGCAATCCAACATATCATTTCAAGGTCTTCAATTTTTTGCTGAAACCAGAGACTCAAATATGGCTGAGAAACCTATTGAAAAAGTGAAGAAAAGTGATATGGATACCTTCTCTGGTGAAAAGTCAAAATAATGAAAACAAGAATATAGAGGTCATATGTGGCTGCGTTTTCTTTGACCCGAGACGTCATGGGTTATGGCCGAAGTTTTTTTCACTTTTTCCTTCCAAGGCCTTATTTAAGATCAATTCCTTCTTTCATGATGTCAGTGAGATATTCAATTATAGAAATGAATCTCTATACAAGTCCATTTGCATTGCATCATTTGAGAAGATTTTTGTCAAGTTAAACTAATTGCATTTTTAATTTTCACACTACAAAATAAAAATACTATTTTCAAGTAAATAGTTGACTTAATTTAACTCCTCCTGTAAACGTGGGGCAATAATTTAACTATTTTTTAGAGAATGGAAATTTTTTTACTTTATTTACATGGCATCAATTCAAAAGTTTCTTAGAATAACTTTTATTTACCTATGCGTATACTATAATTTTAACTAGTGTTTTTTTTTTCAACTGTGATTTGTTTTTAATAATTTCTTTTGTCTTTTTCATAATTTTCTTTGTTAATAATTAAAATCCATATACCAAAACTCTTTATCAATTTGAAAATTACAACATGTTGTTAATTGATGTTTGTGATTTTGTGATATATATTTTCAATTTAATTTTGAAAAAGTAGTAAAATTTTCAATCAAAAACCCTACAAGAAAGGGGTTCAAGAGATTCTATTATCATGCAAGAAAGTATGGTAATGATTAAAAAAAAAAAAAAAAAGGAAGAGAGACATTACAAAAGGAAAGTCAAGTTAGAATAAAATTATAAAAAAAAAAATAGAAAAGAAGGTTAATGTTCTGAAAAGTGTATTGTGAATGTATGTCTAAGGTATTTATATATATAAAAAATTATTGTAGCAGAGAGTTAAAAGATTTTCACCTCCAAAAAAATAGAAAATTTCCTATACTTCTAAAAAAGCAAGAAATTGTTGTTCATATACCTGAGTTGTGATCATGGAGAGACTGAATTAGTTGTGATTTCAATAAACTCCAGTATAATCAATTATTAGAGTGGAAAATTTTTTTAAAAAAAACCCTAAATGGTCCAACTTTTCGTCTTATTTTTCTAAAAGTAACAACCTTCTTTTGTCTCAGAAGCTTGCGCTTTATATTCCCATACAACAAATGTTAATCAAATATTGAATCCAAAAAAAAAAAAAAAAAGAGTTAATCAAATATTAGTTAAAAAAAAAAATCATTAAAGTGTATTTGATGATTTTTAAATGAGAGTTGCATAATTATGGATATATATTATTTAATCTAAAGACTAGAAGTGTATTTCATACACTTTATCTCAAATTTTTAGAATTTTTTTAAATAATCAATTAAAAAACATAATTTCATATGTGTTATTTGCTTATTCTGTTTGTGATAAAAATTTATCGAAAATAATTTTTAGTAGTTTTTATTTCAGTCTATTAACTTCAAATTTATTCAATGTATTCCTTAAAAGTTAAACAGTTTTTCTTATGTTTTTTGTTTTGTACTACATGCTCTAAACCCACTAAAAAATCATCGATTTTATTGGAAATTAACTATAGATCTAACCCATAACACCAACTATTTTTTATCTTTCTTTTTTCTTTTGAATATTCTAAAAAAAAATCTTTCTAACAAAATAATTAAAATAATATTTTTAAATAGCCACCTAATGATTCAAATATCGTTTACTATGCTAATATTATTGATTATTTTATTATTGAATAAATATAAATCAAATATAAATTATTTGAAAAAATAATCTTATTGATATTAAATAAGAATAAAAGATGTTCTTTCATTTGTTAATTTTTATACGAGTTTTTACATTAATTGTAACTTTATTTTTTTGATTAATTTTATGAAAAAAATATTCAGTTATTTTTAAAAAATTTAGAATCAATATTTTATTTAAATTATTATAAATTTTTATTTAAGAATTTGTGCATAAAGAATAACAAATCAAAATTATTTAGTAAAAATTTATGGAAAACATAAGGAAAAATAAATTAAATACAAAGTTTTGATTAAAATATTAAATTTACTCAAACTTATATATATATATATATATATATATATCTTTAATTCGATACATTTAAGTAGGCCAACAATATAGCTTGAACATAATCCAAATAACAAATCTATCCTACATGCAACGTAGCGTGGGAAGTAAACTAGTTGAATCGAAAATCTTATGCATACAATTAGTTTCACATTTTACTTGTGTTTAAAAGCATTGTATTCTTCCATCTTGTAAAAACATGAGATTCATAAATTATTTTCATAATGAATTTTTATATTTATGCAGACTACAACTCTTTTTTAATAGGTATTTGATTAAAATGTTAATTATTAAAAAAAAATAGTAAAAATAAATATTAACGATGCAAGAATACCATGCACCTTTGAATTAATTGCATCCATCATTGGATCTCGTATTAAAATTATTATGCAATAACCAATAATTTTCTTGTTTGTCTTTTTCCTAATATTTTGCATTTTTGTTTGATTAATTTGTAAATTTAAACCCAACACTTTTTAATTAATCAAACCAACAATTTTAAAATTGGTAAACATATGACATACTGAAAAGTAGAAGATTTAAAAAAAAAAAATATTCAGTGAAGTGTTGGCCAACTCTTAAAATTCATAGTCTGGTAAGAACAAGTTATGAGACCCTTTAGATTGACAAAGATGAGGTTTTACAGATCTTTATGGATGATAATTGATAATTACAGTCTCCAAACATTGTACAACTTACCCTCTCTTTCTACTTGTGCCTTAATTGCTAATTTACAAATCAAAATTTTACGTAGGGAGTTGTCATTTTAACTTGTCAAAGTTGCATCCCTCCGGCCAAGTACAGTTCTCACATAGTCTTCCAAATTCATCACATTGACAGCACCTCTCTCTTTAACTGCAACCAGCACAGTTGTAGCGACTCCTGTAACGATACCTGCAAGTTCGCTCGTAAGAATATCATATGGGATGCCGAAATCTAGTCACAACGGAATGGATGATACGTATTTTCTTCGATTGTTATTCCAATCAAGGTTAACAGCATAAGTTCATGCATGTTCAGTTGGGCGTACATGCAACAAAATAAATATGCTTGAAAGCAATACAGGAAACAAAGTGCAAGTTCCTACTTACCGTTTTCAACCACACCAGGTAGCATTTTTATGCTCTTCTCAAGTTCAGCAGGGTTCTGTATCCCATTTGGAAAGCTGGTAAAAAAGATCAGATAACGGTAAGGTCCACCCATAATATGGGCGTGAGTAAAATAGACTGTGGTCTGTCAATTTTGATGTTGACACAGATCCATCTAGAAGTGTTTATGGTACTTGGGTCCTAGAAATTGACTGTTAAGCTTTTGCATAATGTCTTCAGGCCCAAAAACAAAGACAGAAATTTAACATACCTCACATCTACAACCATATTCCCGAGATCTGTGAACAATGGACCGCTCTCATTCGAGGTAGATCGAATTTCAGGAACTGAAACATCAACAGGACACAGTTAAACAAGAAACTTGGAAAAGGGAGACGGGTTGCCATTTTGACTTAGCCAAGTTCAATAAAAGAGATAAATCCCTTAAGTAAAGGCGCTTTTAAAAACTCATTTGAAGCCATAAAACAAATCTTGGGTGCAATTTTGGTGTTTGAACTTAAAAGATAGTCCTTCCAAAAACTCATGGCGTGTGAACTTGAGTGTTCTTTTAACTCAGTATCAGTCAAAACTAACCTCCTCCAAGAGTAGCAAGTCGCTTCAGTACAGGTGTGAGGGCAGGAGGAAGAACTTCGACCTAAAACATATCTTTTCAGCATATAGCATATCCATAAGGATCACAATCATGCAGCCAAGAAGGGAAAAAGGGGGCATTTTTGTAACAACGAAAATGTCAATGGTTTACCTCTGATCAGTACTAAAGTTCTCATTATATATATTTTCAATCCACAATATTTTCTTGTCATTTTTATCTGTTTCCAAGTAACAAGTAACCCATTGTGGACAATAGATTTGTAGTACTGCAAGCAGTAATTGTAAAAAAGACAGTTCTTGACTCATAACAGTCCTGCTTAGTATTCATTTGATCTGGTAGTAGCAAAAACATACAATAACATCTAGGCAGTGATATGTCTATGAAAACAGCAGTAAGCATCAACTACTAGGAACTCAAATATATACCGATAATAAATAACCACAAGAAATATTAACTGACAGGAACAGGGAATGCGCTGCCAAGCCGGTGAACAACCTTCGGGTGATCAACTAGTATGATGCATTCGCTTGCCACCGAATCAATTATCTGCTCAAAACAAAAAAAAAATCATGGCAATCAAAAAAGGGTAGACAAGAAAACTACTCGACTGTCGCAGTATTCAAGAACAAATTGATTTTGGGACAGACAAATGCATGTGCATGATTGATTGTTATTTAGCATGATACTATCTGCAATTGCAAACTCAATTACTATTAAAGCAGTACACTATCATATCTTACAGGATGCTCCACGGAAAAAGGTGAAATCATGGAAGTGTTGACTTTTGAGGTTTACCCATCTCGTCATTAGCTATGGAATTTAATAAACTTCAATCAGGCATGAATTGTTCCTCTTAGACTGTTTTCGCACCAAACCAATGCCACGGTTGTCTAATTACACAGAATAAAGAAAATGTGGGATTATCAGAGAAACGTTTCAGTTTACCTTTTGCATGGTATGTGCAGGTCCTCCGCACTGCAAAGCAAAAGGATAGCTTGTAAAGGAACTTCCACAATATTTTAATGCAGGTCTGAAAAGACAGATGAAAGGGTAAAGCATTCTGACCTTCAATAGATTTTTATTGAAGTCCACTTCATCAACGCCATCAAATGCAATGTCAATTTTATTAACACCACTCAAATTAACCTGCAAACAAATTGCATGAAGCATGAAGCATGGCATGGAAATGAAACATAGGTGAGATCTACAACAACTTGTGAGACGTTTTTGCTTTTCAAGGGAAAAAAAAAGTTATGAGCACCTCTCAACATAGACTTACAATTGTGACTCCAAACTGTCTAGCTAAAACTTGCAACTGATAATTTGCCCCAACTGCTATAATATCTTTCAACTGGGGAGAGGAAACACAAAAATAATAAATAAATAAACATAAACTGAAATGCTCAAGTTAAATCGACTCAACCAACACATACGGGGATCCTAGTTTAGGTCAGCTTCAACCTAATGCATGAAGGCATTCAGGTCAGTTGCTGAGCAGCATCACACTAGGGAAAAACATGAGCATGGGGTGAATTTGAGTAGGCCAAGAATCTTGGGAAGCCCTTTAATTGATGGCTTCATTATCTGACATTTTCCGGTACTAATTTATAGTTAAGTAAGTAGGCTTTTGGCATTCTATGCATCTGAATATTTTGTAGAAAATAAATTATTTCAAAAATAATAGGTGAAAAAGGAAGGGGTAAACTCAAGGCTTCCAAAGCAAAGTCCATGCCCACTTGAACTTTGGAAGTACAATAATTGTGTATTTTAAATGCTATCAGAAATGAGCTAAACCTCAAAGTGCCATTTGGCTCATCTGAACCAAAAACTTAAAAGTATTATTCTTATCAAACTTAATCCTCTTGATTCTTTAGGCTATCTTTTTCATAAGAAACTTCCAGGATTTGCATCAAAAGCCTTTTGCAATGACTTTGTTGAAGAACTCTAAAAAGTAAAACCAGCATTGACTTGATCTTCAGCAGCTTAGGCACCGAAAAATAAAAGGCAAGAAAAACAAAAACATTTGAGTTTATGGGATACAAACCTTTCCTTCTCCAATTAGTCTACCAAGTTCCTCCATAAGCAAAGATATTGTGTTTCCTGAGCCCAAACCAATTACCATTCCAGACTTCACAAGTTCCACTGCTTTCCTTGCAAGGGTCCGCTCTATTGATTCCAGACCTTCAAGTGTTCACACATGTAAGTACTTAACAAATCAGAATGTTTAACATAACATGAAGCAAAGAAGGAAAACAAAAACAAAAATTTTAGTCATGAGAGAAGGCAGTTCAAAAGCACCAAAAAGCATGAAATACTAGCAGTGTCATAGCATCAAGTCACTAACCCAACTCAAGCCATAATTGGAACATACGCTAGTTATATTCACCTCGGAAAAAAAAAGTCTGAAATTACGTGACAGCAGATATAACTTCCAGTGCAATGCCCAATCAACTTCTTAATTAAGTATAACAACTATCTAAAAATCAACAAGTAGCAGAGAATGTATTTTTAAACTTACTAAGCAAGGGATTTGCAAAAACTGAATTTCTTCTCTTGGAACCATTTGACACATTCCCATTAACAGAACGTTTAGTGGGGCATGGAAGATGGCTGCTTCCAGATGTTATTTGATTGGGATCAGCGACTCTTGGTATGGCAGAATCTGTTCAAAAGAGAATCAATTAAACGAGGTGTTTCCAATATTTTTCAAATTCTATTCAACCACATTATGAGCCTCAGCTGATGTTAAATTCTCATTTCATTGCTCACCAGATTTGAGGTTTGCAGAACTCCCAGCTTCATGAACAACTAAATGCGGCACTTGGCTTTGTCCTGTTCCCACCTTTTTCGCTCGAGGAGCTCTTGATTTCTTCTTTTTCATACCATGTAGTCCAGGAACCAATTCATGATTATGCTCAAGATTAACGCGACAAACATATACTCGTCCATCAGGACCTATGGTTACATTCAACTTGGCTTTACAATTCGTTCTAGGTGGCAACCTCTTCCGAAAATTAAACCTGTTAGTCTGACAAGCAGAGGGCAGCTCCTTACCAGACCGCGAACACGCAAGCGTAAAGTACTTCACATTCCCATCATCTCCAGATTTTGTGCTTTTCTTTATTGTATTAAACCCTAAACGCCAAGCATACTCATCATAATAGGAACGAACTTCTTCTGGGGTGTTAAACACCATTCCAATGCTTGGGGGTTTCACTTCTTCATCGTCATTTCCAACTCCACTTTCTTTCTCATCAATATTAATAACTATCACTTCATTCACTTCGTCACTATCAAATACCATTTTATCATTCCTCCCTTCCGTATCTTTCTCTAATCTCACATTCATTTTATTATCTACTATCACATTCATTTTAGTATCATCTTCCATTTTACCTATTATACAGGATAAACTAACATTAAATTCACATATTCAATCCATCAAGTCACATAAAACACCACATTCATCAACTTTTGAATGCATTCAATCAAGTGGGCCAATTTCGAAATTTATTTTAATCCACTAATGATCAGTTTAGGAGACTAATCATTTAAATTACAATGAGACATAAAACGAT